GTTTGAAACTGAAGGAAAATTGGATGTGCTCGCATTAGTCCATATCCTCTGCCAGATGTATCTCTTTCATGCGACCTTTTGGTTTGGAATTAAAGGAAAATTGGATGTGCTCTCAATAGTCCATATCTTCTGCCAGATGTATTTCTTCCATGCAATCTTTTTGGTTTGGAACTGAAGGAAAATTGGATGTGCTCACATTAGTCCATATCCTCTGCCAGATTTACCTCTTTCATGCAACCTTTTGGTTTGGAATTGAAGGTAAATTGGATGTTATCGCGAAACGACAGTTGAATCAAATAGATGTCAAATATATACATGTGGAAAGGACTGGTTGAATGTAAAGGTACTATACACTCTCACAAAAATTAAATGCATAGGTGTATTTTCACGAATTTATTCTGCTACCTTCAAAGTGAAATAACTCATGCAATTCTGGATCACGCTGGACCGAACTTGACAGTATAAAGATCGGATGTCAGTTGACATGTACAGGTCGTAAAATGTTCATAAAGTGAGCGTTGTCTTCAACATCTGTCTTGGTCGCCATAAACCCCCATAACTACTCTGCAATGTCTCGTCATGAACTGAACAGACTTTCAGTTCGACCTTGAGGAATTCTGGCCTGTTCGTCTTGCAATGCCTACGACAGTGAATCTAGCACCTGCGTTCACGTACGCGTCGAGGATTGGTATGTTGATATCTGTCCAATACACGACAGATGGTACCATGGTGAGCACTGAGGTGACGTGCAACAGCAGATTGAGACTTCCAAGCCTCCAGAGGTCCAATGGGAATGATTCGATTTACAACAGAGTCGCGACATTACCATATTCTTTCATTTGGTTAAGACGACAGCAAACGTGCATTATAATTTAATTTCCGAAGATGCGATTTACACTTTCTTTTCGTTCCATGTACACAAATGAGCATAAAAACAATCTAAAACTAATTTTGAAATATATTTGACATCAATATCACCTATGCATTTTCTTTTTGGAGAGTATATAACAGACGGTAATTATCTAGATCTCCATGTCATGAAACAGTTGCGGTAAGTTATTATCTGCATAGCATGTGACTAAAGTGATTAATTCTAACCACCAAAATATTTGGATATTTTAGATATGAGAAAGTGGTTGCAATGAAATATCACTTTTTTGCTGTTTTGGGCTATATTTCATTCATTCTACAATAAAGAGTTGACTATCAACAATGGTGATAGATACTTGTGAAAATACCGTCACAAACGTACATATACGTGAAATGGATGCGTTCCTAATGTGTAATTTGACACTGTGTTTCAATAATCGTACTCAATCAGCAGTAATTCTTAACCGCTATTGATGTAGATTGTCTGTTGGGCCTCTCTCGTGTAAGTAGTTTGATTGGAAGTAAGCACGCAGTCCGGATGTATGCACATCATACGATCTTCGGACTTTTAGGTAATCAGGTAATGACGTGTATCCTGTTACCCATTTCAGCTCATTATACGTACACGAGGTATTGATGTTCCCGACGTGGAGGATTCTTCAAACAACGGCCTTCGAGGCGCGTTACACACACAGCAGAGCAGGTTAATGCAAATCTTGAAAACGTATTTTGGACAACTTCCACCAAAGATAAACATCGTTAAACGGGCGATACAGTATCAGCTGATTGCCTTAACACCAGCGGACATCTCGATCTATACTGTAAATATTTTTGGGTACAATGTGTGAAGCCCATTCCCCGCCGTGATGTTGCTGGAATATTGCTAGAAGCGGCGTTAAGGCAAACTTTCAAACTACTTACAGCCTTAAGTCTGACAATCAGTAATCCTACAAACAATAAGGCAAAGTAAACGCCTTGAACATTTCCCCTCAATACGAATCAAAGTTAATGACTTTCAGGCCATTAAAATTTGTTAGCCACCTTTGAAATGCAAGAAAAACGTTTCACCATCACGTTCAGAAAAAGGCGGAACGAGTCTAATCTGCCTTGAATCACCAAACGATCCATCACCTGTTGAGGAACCTAGAGCGGTATGATTTGGTAAATCAGTTTGCCACAACTTATTTCTTTATCAGCTAATTCTCATTCTTTCATCCAAACCTCTCTCTCTTCTTCTCAAGTTCATTCTCTTTAGGTCGAAGTTCTCTCTCCCCTTCTAATGTCTATAAAGCCAAAATGTCAGCATTTTTCTCCAAACAAGGCCAATCAAAATCATCCATTATTTTGTCATCAACCGGGAATGTGATCAAAATTTTCTTGGCAAGATTTGATGCCAGGTTTGTAATAATTGGCCAAATGTACCAGTTCAGACTTTTTGAGCAAAGAGACTTGTTCTGTAGAAGGTTGGCTAACACATTCCTCTAAACTAAACACCATTGAGATTGTTGGTTTTTATGCAGTCTAAAACAATGACATATTATTCCGGACATTTTGACAAATAATCTTGTGATTTATTAAATTTTAGTTTCTGCTAATTGTTGCTTCCCAAGTTCACAGGTCAATACAAAGTATCACCATGAAAGTACAAAGCAGCAGCACTACAAAATTCCCAAGTAATAATACAAGAGCAGTAATTATAGCATTTAGGACTCTGATTGTAATATTCATCTCTCAGCAACACTCTTCCAACTTGCGACTGTTTGATTTTCCCATCACAAGAGATAAATATTTTTGGTTCAAAACAATTAAGGATCTTTTTTATAATGTAAATTATCATTTAATTATTGGGTTTTTTTAAAGAAATAGAATTATTGGATAAATTTGTTTTGTAAATAGATAAATGTTATTTTATAAATGGTAGTATAAATTAGCAACTGTTACTGGCTGTATCCTCAAAGGGGGTTCAAGTATCGTAAAATTATTGTTCTCCTGAGAGGGTACGCAAGTCCCCAAAACTTTCAAAGTCAATTTCGCTCAACCATACTTTTTAGTCGAAGTATTTTTGCTATTTTAAATTTCGGCAAATATTTCTACCATCGCCAGGGGCTGAATGGATGGTGTAAATCCAGCTAGGGAACTAGTCTATGCAGTCAAAAGGGCCGAGCAAAAGTAACAAAAGTCAAAAGTAAGTCCCACATGGTAACATTACTAAAGCCACTGTCGCTCCATGTAGTCACAGAGACCAACCAGCTTCTGTGACGACGCTCTCAAGACAAGAATAGGAACAGAAGATGACTTTGAAACATGTGGCTATATGAATATTATGCTTATACGAATGAATGAATGTGTTCCTGGCAATGTCGCCAGATGGCTTGTGTAAGATGGAAAACAGCCGCGTAGATTGACATCGGGGAGGAGTCGATCAAATACCTTCCATGTGGCAGCTTCGAAATCCATCATAATGCATCGGACTTGGGGTGGACGGGGTAGGACGAGCAGCATCTTCGTATGACTTTCAAATTCCAATTCCAAATCTTTCGGATTCTTTGGCCGAAGTTTTACTCTACACCTGTTGGCGATACGAGCCAAATTTTCAGGGTTGTCTCTGCTCCCGGATGGCAGTATTGGATCTACCATATCGCTGGTGACACCCTCAGCTATTGACCTGGCAGACTTAAACAGGTCTTGCGTTGCAGTCCTCTTCACCTATAACAACAAGGTTGATTGATCCAATTACGAATCAATTCAATTCGTTAATATCTACCAATTAACAATTAAGGATGTTCAATTGACAATTTAACTAATCCTAATTAGGAATCAATCAATAGAAAGTACTACTCACCTGAGCTGTTACTTGGACTGAAACAATTTTGCCTGCCTCTGCTGTGTGGCTGTGGTTATGTTTGCCTGGCACTCTGTCTCCTGTTGAATTGGTCTCGGCAACAGTTGCCTTTCAGGGACGTTTGCTACATCTGTTGTAAATCTTATTCTGAGTGACCTCCTTCATACTATTTTACTACATAATTTATTAAATTTTATTTTATTTTCGGCCCTTTTTTCGGCCTTTTTGACTTTTCATTTCGGCTTATTTGACTATTAGCCTCGGCCCTTTTGACTCTTTTTTTCGGCCCTTTTGTCTTTCGGCCCTTTTGACTACAACCCTGGTTTCTAGTATGGTGATCTACCTTCAGTTTTTGGCGATCTATAGCCCGTGTTTTATATTGTATTGTCTTCTTTAATTAAAATGTTTTAGTTTTCATGCTAGTTTTATATTCTGTGATATTCTAGTATTTTCACTGTCCATCGTCGACTGGTTTAACTCTTAAAAATGTTTTCATTTTTATTGTGAAAATTGTTTTCGTCACGATATGGCTGCGATATTGCCAATGTGACATTAAATATTAACTCACTCACTCACTCACTCTTCCAGCTTGCATGAGACCCTGGAACTGAGTTCAGATGGCCGGAAACTGAGTTACCAGCGTATAGAGTCATCACACAAAATGCTGGTCTTCTGGTAGCCCGAGACGTAATGTGAGATGACAGACAGTAGCCAGCTCACTTCATATACACATTTCTAGAGTACGCTCTGATGCAATAAACCCCGGGACCGGCACCCTGCAGTACTTCCCAGATTTGTTTTTGGTCTAAATCTAGTTAAAGTCTGAATATAGCACACCACCTTACGGGATCTACACGTACAATAAAATACATATATTTGGAACATTGTTACACAATGAACACTAATGCCATATAACACTACTCGTAAGACCACGCAGTAAAAACTACTTTCAAGCTCTATACATTGATTCCAGTGCCTTATTGCTGCAATATGTTGACTAATATTCCCATACCCTTTACAGTCACATTGACATCATATGATAAAATATCAGCCATTGCAAATATCTTCTGTCATATAATATACGGTGTTTAGGATACGGAAACACCCTAGCGTAATAATCTCCATTTAATTTATAAGCCTAATGAAAGTTAAATATTAAAGAACCACTAGGTATGGAAAAAACACAGAGCTCATCTTTCAACAAGCAGGTTCGATCTCACGATTCCAGCTGCAAGACCCAGCATACATGTTTGTCGACGACATGTGAATTACGTCCCTTACCTGTCATGGCGGTAAAAGTGGCGATTGATTTAGTTTACCAATGTATTTGTGTTGCTTACTCATACAATCAAGCGTTTACCTTAAATTAAGTGTGTTTGATTAAAGCCAAGTGTATCAAATCTTGAACTGAGTTTAATGAAATTAAATGACAGTGTCACTAGCCTTTTAAAATCGCCCTGAGTCGAAGCGGGATTGCTGACACACACTTTTTGAAAGATGTCAAAACAGGTTACGCTATCAAAGTTCTTTGCGACCAAGAATCCGAAATCGTCGGGAAACAGTTTTTCAACTGACGAAGATACCCAGTCTAAACGAAATGGAAAGGTAGGTGCATGAAAGTCTCCCCACTTTCTAATAAGTATCATATGTCTGTATGTTAGTCTAACGCACAGGAAGTTTTGTATTCACACGTGGTAACCGTAAACACTAACAAATGCATAAGCTGCCTGGATATACACAAATGGATACCAGTCATAACGGACCAGATTTCATAACGGAATATATGCTGGTCGAAACGAACCAGTCGAATATCTGTATTCATAGTAATAAAAACAAGTTTCTCAGTTTACACACTCAGTTTAATTGCCTCACTTGTCTACTTACATGACATACTGTGACATATGACTAAATAGATAAATGTACGTGAATGTACTTTCACACAAATATAGACACACATTAATAAAATCCATACATTGACACACTTTTGCAATTAATTTTTATTTTTCGCCCCTTATAAAATTATTATTGTATGCACATACTATGGTTGTGTTATGTTTAATACCAATAATCATTGTCTGTGTCCATTGTCATGGTCATTGTCCATCAAATAACATGATCAGGTACCAGTCAAATTGCACCAGCTACCAGCAATTTGGTCAAATTGCCCTGGATTTTTTATCAAATTGCTTTTACTTCATGTTCTGTTTTATGTAAGGAATATGTAGAAGATTCTGACATCATATTTCTGATACACCCACAAAACCTAGTTTGATTAAGAGTGAATCTGTTATATGTGTTTCAAGAACGTGTAAATTGGTTCTTTTACTGATATGGCTTAGATTTGCAGATGCAAAGTTACATTGTAATTCAATGGTGGGATTTGGTCCATAGACTTTGTAAGAGTAAAATATTATTACATGGTTACATTGTGACTCTGGGTGGATGTGCATTATTGCACCTCAAAGGTGTCTCTGGCCAAGCCTTTATTATTGTCAGACTGGCATAAGATAGCAGGAATATTGCTGAGATTCAACCTCACACATACAGGAAAATACAACCAAAATCAATGTTTCAAAATCTGTGCATGCAGTTTTGCTGATGTTTAGAGTGAATCTACCAGGAAAATATAGAACATGATATCTACATAGTCTGAAAACTGAATGAACCAATTCATCCTCTATGAACTCCATTTCAGAATGTCAAATCATCATTATCATCGTCCAAAAGAAAACAGTCTCCTAAGGAAAGTAACAACCCCAAACCACCCAAAAAGACATGTCTAAGTCCTACAAGCAATGGTATAAACAACAGTGAAGAACCAGTCACATCAACAGCTGCAGCCAGCCCCAAGACACCTTTAGGGAAACTTGCAGAAAATACATTGAAGAGACTTTCAGAGTTCTCAGCTGAGTGTGAGCCATCCACTTCATACACAGAAATAAAAACGTAAAAGTTTTCAGAACAGTGAGTCTCGTTCAGACAGCCCACCACCTAGTACGTCCAGCTTTGAGAACCCTGTGTGTTTGGACAGTAGCGATGACGAAGCCATGGAGGTAGACCAGGCTCAGAGTGTTGGTAAGGAGTCCAACCTTTCTGCTAGATATGCCTCTGGAAAAAACAGTTGGAAACCGAAGGTATCTCCTGTTGTGAACAAAACAACAAAGACTAAATATACTCCCCTTGAACAGCAGTTTATGGAGATCAAGGAACAGTATCCTGATTCAGTACTGTTTGTTGAGTGTGGTTACAAGTACAGATTCTTCGGAGATGATGCTGAGGTAGGTCTTTCAGGTGTGGAAATAACTTAAACTTGCTAGTGTACTCCGCTACAGTGGCACATGTAAAATCACTTGCCCTGATCATTTGTCCACTATACCGACCGTTTTCTTGTTGATTTTTTAAATAAACAACATAATTAACATTGGAAAGTCAACTGGACACCGGTACAGTGTGATATACAAATTTGCTTGCCCAACAGAAAAAACACACTGGACTCGGACGTCAGGCAATGGGTTATTTCCACCCCTGTCTTTGAGTATTGTACTGTGACTTTATAGTATCCTGCTTTCTGATTGGTCCACCAATGATGTTTACCACTGTCTCAGTATTCGTGTGTTTATCATGTTGTAGTTTTGTTTTTGTTTCTCATAGGTTGCAGCAAAGGTGTTGAAGATATTTGCTCACCCTGACCACAACTTCATGACAGCCAGTATTCCTACTCATCGGTTGTTTGTGCATGTCCGCAGGCTAGTGTCTGCTGGATACAAGGTATGTACAGTGTCCAGAAAATACTCAGTGTGGTGATTGATGAGTCACCTAGGTGTGTAGGTGTTGGACATGAACATATACCAACAAAGGCCAGTAGACCTGGGTATGTTAACTGCATGATTACCACTTGAAGAACAGGTTGTATCTGCCTATGTTCTGCCTATGAGGGGCAGTGGGGTAGCCTAGTGGTTAAAGCGTTGGCTCGTCACGCCGAAGACCCGTGTTCGATTCCCCACATGGGTACAATGTGTGAAGCCCATTTCTTGTGTTCCACGCCGTGATGTGGCTGGAATATTGCTAAAAGCGCCGTAAAACCAAACTCAGTCAGTCAGTCTGCCTATGACCGGAAGCTTTCATTGAAACTAAAAACAGGCCAACTGTTAAAACCAGTGAAAAGTATGAGAATGAAGGTGATGGAATAAACTTCTGAAAACATACCCCTGAGTACAGCCAGTAATTTAGGTAATGTATGCACAATACACGACAAGCTGTTTGGGTACGAAATAGGTTAATTCCAGATGTAACTGGACCTTTCTCTCAGGAGTTAATAGAAAACAATTTCAGAAATTTAATCTTTTATTAAATTTGTGACGCTTCAATGATGCGGATGATACAATGTAGATGTTCTCTGAGATTGCTTGTTTTGTTCACATCTTAACAGATATATACTTCCCATCAAAAGTTTAGACTCACTAGTGTAAATATAGCCACTTACTTCAGGCAACTGTTCTGAACTAAATTTTGCAAAATATTCCATACTGTTTAAAGGTACTGTTTACACATGAACTGATGTATTGTAAAACAAATTCGTAAAGTTGAAAAGATTATTGTCATGAGTTCAATAAATGATAAACATCAGTGTGAATTGGCGAATTCTTAAGAAAACTTTACAACAAAATGCAGCTGTTCACATGTATGGTCCTCGTGCAGTTCATCTGCATGAGGTTTGCAGTTGGTTCCCCCAAGTGAGTGGAGAAATCAATCTTGGATGTAACCATATATCAAGGGTGGAAATAACCCATTGCCCGACGCCCGAGTCCAGTGTTTTTTTCTGTCGGGCAAGCAAATTTTTTATATCACACTGTACCAATGTCCAGTTGACTTCCCAATATTAATTATGTTGTTTATTTAAAAAATCAACAAGAAAACGGCCGGTATAGTGGAAAAATGATCAGGGCAAGTGATTTTACATGTGCCACTGTACCGGAGTACACTAGCAATTTTAAAGTTATTTCCACCCCCTGTATATATATACATAACATATAGTGAGTGTTTTAAGTGAGTCTAAACTTTTGATGGGAAGTATAGATAACAGAACTGACCTAATATTAATAAATATATAAATGTTGTAGAACCTAATTGGGGATACGATGAATTATTGGAGTTACACCACTGTGAGCTCTATGACCCAGTTTCAGAATCAAGCCTGGATTTGTTTGAAAGTGGAAGAATGTTAGAAATGCTTGACAATATCAAGGGAGATAACTCATCAATATGTCATTCCAGTGCTTCTCTCATTTCTCTCCCCTAGGTTGGTGTTGTGAAGCAGACGGAGACTGCAGCCCTGAAGGCTGCTGGCAGCAACAAGGCGGGACCATTTGGCCACAAACTGTCTGCCCTCTACACCAAGTCAACACTCATTGGGGAAGATATCCTTTGTTGTTTAGTGAAGATCCGGGTTTGAATTGGTCTTCAGCAACCCTTGCTTGCTAATGGGGCCAGATGGTCAGAAAAGAGTGCAAAACCTTCTGTTTCATTACTGGTATATATGTTTACATGCTACTGTAAACATCCTGCGGTTTATTTGGTGTAAGACAATTGCATTGAAACAACCACCACAAAGTTATGCCATGTGATGTATTCAAATATTAAGCTCCTCCAATTAGTTTTATTTCTGTCAATAATAATTTGTATGTACAAACAGTTTGGTATAGCAGAGTAGATCTTTTAAAAAATTGAAACTTTATGAAATTAAAAGCTGAATTACTTGAAATATCCTTTGAGGAGTAATAATATGATGATTCTTATTGAATGACACTGTGAATGATGTAAGACTGTGGCTGTGTTCAAGTCCTTATCTTCTCACATGTGGACCCTCTGTCAGGGTTGGGGGACACGGATGCTGCATCCCCTGGGGTCCAGCCCAACAACTATCTCATGTGTGTGTATGACTCTCCTGAAGGACTCAGCAAAGGAAACAAGCGAGAAGTTGGGATGCTGGTAAGAATGGTGCTGCTCTTACAATGTGGGGTTGTGGTAACATTAGCTTATGAGCTGATTTATCTAGGATTAGAAACTAAGTGCTCTTGGCAAGGAAACTGGGACAATATCTTGACATTGTTCAAAATGTGATTTTTCAATGTGATTATTTTTCTTCAATTCTGAGGAATTGGGAATTTATTTAACTTAGGAATTTTGGAATCATTTGATGCAGACTTGGAGCTGAATGTTAGCCATTAAACAGGTCTAGATAAATCCTTGAGCTTGTGTGAGTAGTTATGGCCATGTTCAGTAGGGATATAGGGTCAATCAAGTCCTGGTTTTCTTTTGTGGGGATTATTGGTAAGATGAATTCTGCTGACATTCTTTGAAAGAGAAGCCTGAACAACATCACTGCTTATCACAAGGAACAAGAAACATTTCTGCAATAAGTCTGGAGAACTGATATACACACACTGTGAATCTATCCATTCTTTCATTGTACAGTCAGGCAGATTTGTGTTGTAGTATAAAAACAAAATTGCACTTACTATTAAGTATTTTCCGACACTAATGGTTCCTAAAAGCTTAATTTAGAATGATAGTTACATTTCCAGACAGCTATTGTTTATCGTTTGTTAATATCATGTTTTTCTCCGAACAATATCTATAATATATCTGTATTCGACTATTCATATAAGCACCATACTGCTTGTTTACCAATCCGGTTCCTCTTTTGGAAATAAATATGTTTAAACCACTGTGATTCCACCTTAATTTAGAAACACTGACAGTGATGTGTGACAGTTTTGAACAATGTAACTATATTGTATGTTCCTGGTTCAGGCTGTGGATCCTGGTACTGGCGATGTCTTGTATGACTGTTTCGTGGATAGTGACACAAGAGCAGAGCTTGAGAAGAGGATAACCCACATACAGCCAGTAGAGATGCTGCTCCCAGACTCCTTGACTGACAAGACAGAGAAGCTCATCAGTGATATTGTAGCATTGAGGTATAAGTCAGTCCGTGTCTCTGCCGACCTCGCCTGTTGCATTCATTCATGTTTCATTCAGGGTGGTGTGGTAGCCGAATGGTTAAAGCGTTTGCTTTAAGGCAGTGTAAAACCTCCACTCACTCACTCAAACACTCACCCATTATTTTGTATGTCTATTGCTAATATGTAATTATTTTGTATGTGAATTGTTAATCTGTGATTATTTTGTATGTTAATTGTTAATCTGTGATTTGTTTGACTTATACATACATGCTGACTTATTTCAAAGTTTTCATCCTGGTCATAATTTGAGTACTTCTATGGAGACTTTCGTACAGTGAAACCCTGTAACAACACATTGCATCTCAGTGTACTATCCTTGAAACAATAACTTGATTTATTTGAGGAGAAGCATTTCCTTATCAATATGGGGTCTGGACAAATAGGGTCTCGGTTCATTAAAGTATCATACGACTGATGTAAACTTTGATACTTTTACTTCAAATTACGACAGTCAATATTTTGTAAAACATGGTCCTGGTCGTTAAAGAAAGGGGATGGTCAAGATTAGGACTGATTAATTTGTTGTATTTGTTCAAATTGTAACTTTTTTATTTGACTTATAGTAGAACTTTTCATTTTTGCAATAGCTTACCTTAATTTGCTGTCTGTAGCTATAGAACATAATGGATCATCTGTATTTCAGTTCGACTGACGATGATCGTATACGACTAGAACGCATAGGAGATGAAAACTTTATGTACAGCCAGGCATTTGAAACGGTTTCTGACTTCTATTCTGGTAAGTAATATTTGATATCAGTAAATTCATGGTTAGCCAGGGTTTATAAAATAATATATTATTCAGTGTTTGCATGTATATATCGGCATTTTGTGTTTCTAACCCTGAGCTCCTCTCTTCAATAAGAGTGTGGCTGCTTCACATTATGTGTGAAAGTTGTGATTATTTTTGCATGTGGGGCTGATTGGACTCAAGTTGGAGGCCTCAAGGCCAAGAACAAAAATAGCCATGACTTTGAGGACATATCCAACTTAAAACAATGTCCCATTCAAAATATTGGTGAACATATGTCCACCTGTTGTCTGAGTGTATGGATACTGGAGGGTTGTTTCTGTTTTTGTTTACGAGTGTAATGTTTTAGAGTCATGAGAGCTGGTTTCCATGTGATCATGTGCAATCAAAATTATATCATCAAACAGAAGTTGTACATTTGCCCGTCTGGTGTTCTGCTTGAGACCCCATCGGAAGAAGGGGCGTGGGATGCTGATCCGTCAATTCTAAGAAGCTGACCGGCCTCCCCAGACATCCCATCATCAGCAGATAAAGTCAAGAGGGCCTCAACGTCTTCTCAAGCGCGAACCCGTACCCCCAGGGAGCGTCATCCTCCAAAGGGAAATCACGAAGTCGCCGAGAACTTTCTCAGCCGAGAATCGTTCCAGCAGCAGAATTGGGCCTCTACGATGACCAGCCAATCATCATAATCTCGACATACGCCTACAAGAAGCTTACCAGTGACAACGACAGTGACTTCAGCAGAGATCACCATGCAGCCTGATGCCTCTACACTGATGTCAGGCCGAGATCGCTGAGGGCCCCACCGCTATCAGCGCAGAGAGGGCACCATCTACTTAAAATGCGCCCAGATCATCCCAGGCGATCTTAATGAAGCAGATCATGATCATGATGGAAGGCCACTACAGACTGGAGAAGCAGCCATCCTAGGGGGTCCGGCCTTAGCCGAAGGCTCCGTAAATCGTGAACAGCACCCCAGAGGCACCCCCAGCCAGCGAGCAGCCACGACGAGTGCCAGCCTTGGGCGAAGTCAAGGTGACCACCTCGACGAAGGACCCAGATGTACAGCCTTGGCGAAGGCCTGGGCTGGCGGGGAAGATCATCACCTTCTTGATCATACTCAGATACGAATCTGATCAGACCTCACGGAAGCCTTGGCGAAGGTCATATCACCGTTCCCAGGACCGGACTTCAGAGGAAGCTTCGAAGAGGCGTTATGAAGGACACGAACAGATCGTCATCATCTAAAAAGGACATCAGGGACTACACAAAGAGCTTCTAAGGCTTCTAACGTCCCCTCACAGGTCTCCCAAGAAGATCAACCCTATCGATGTAGATCAATCAGGACGGATCGCCTTCGGGCCGATCACCACGCCCGATCTCCACGTGCATCACCATCGTCGATCACCTCTACAGGTCTGCACACAAGCCTACAACTAGATCTCCACAAGCGTCAAACGATATAGAGATAGAGCCACACAGTCCTACATCAGAAGAGCAACAACCTCTCATTAATGATGATGGAATGGAAGATGATGGAGGAATTATTTTCTCAGATGCAGAGATAAGATATTGGATGGTCAATAATCTAGATCTCTCATCACCTTCCAAGAGTGGCAACTCGGCGCGAGACATACCTGATGAAAGAAGGCGATGCAGATGCTATCACACTACCCCAATGTCGACCCGGATTAGCGGGCGATTACCACAGAACTCCTGATACAGCATTCCACAAAGCCATGAAGGTTCAGACACCACATCTGCCAAACTTTCACGCCAAGAAGTTCTCAACGATAATATGGACCCCTTCTTCAAGGGCGCAAGACATCGATGAGAACTACAAGCTGATCTCGACGCCAAGAACAAGTACTACAAGATTGATGATGGGAAATTGGTTCAGATAGAAACCATGGCGAGGACGTATGTTCTTTGGTCTAAATAGATCTAGAACAATAAATGAGACACTTATCACCAGATTTCGTAACACGACCTCTGAAGATGATAGAATGATTTACTCGGCCCTACTAATGCAAAAGAAGGACCAGCAGTTCTTAACAGATCATCTCACGTCTGTCTCAGCAGCACTGACCTTAGCTCGTCGTCAAGGCCTCCTCGCTTCCTGTAACTGGGGTGAGAACTTTACAGCTCCACTATATACAGCCCCGTGGTCTTCCCCATCCATCTTTGACAACTAATGTACTCATATGGCAACTATAGAGGAGGGTCAGGAAGAGGCAGGACACCCAGAGGTTCCCGCAACTATAAACGCTGAAAGACAGGTTCGGAACGACTGGAGTCTTCCACCCCCAGCCGTTCCAGTACAACCGTCACAAGTGGGTGGACGTCTCCAACTACACTGGGAAAACTGGGGAATGCTTCAAGACACCTATGTCTCCAACATTCTTCAACACGGATTTCGTATCCCACTACATGCCAAGCCTCCGCTAACAGTCAACCCTCACAAGTTCGACGTGACAGGCACAGCAACTACCAAAGTTAAGAGGCTTGTTACATTACTCTTAACCAAGCAGGCCATAGAAGTAATAGATCAAGGAAACATCGAACCAGGTTTCTACTCCCAGTTTTCCTAGTACCCAAGAAAAACTCCAAGGAGAAATACAGACTCATTTACAACATGAGCTTCTTCAACAAGACTTATCTACGCAGACCACGAGGTTCCGCGATGATACATCTACGCAGTTACGGCACATGATTCGCCCCCATGGACTACATGGGCGAGTATAGATCTACAAGATGCCTATCTGCACATCCCTATACATCCCGAATCCAGGAAATACCTACGGTTTACACTAGGCGGGTTACATTACCAGTGGAAAGTACTCCCATTCGGAATATCATCAGCCCCATGGTTATTCACGAGGATAACGAAACCGATTGTCACCTATCTACATCGTCAAGGGGCTACGCGAGTCGTTCTTCCTCGACGACGGGATACAAGTAGATCAAGATCCACAGCATCTCAAACTACAGTTAAACTACATCATAAAGCTACTAACACAGCTGCGATGGTTAGTAAACTTACTCAAGTCGGACCTAGTACCATCGCAAGATCTGCAATTCCTAGGCATTCGATTTATCACCAATCTCAACCGATATAGTGGTACCAGAAGACCGTTGGCTCAAGATCCAACAGATCATTCCACCAGCCCTACTCTCCGCTACCGCTTACGACAATGGCAGAGCTTACTAGGTCTTCTAACGTCAGCCCAAGACTTGACAGTCAGAGGCAGATTACAGTTCGTCCCTTACAGGTCTTCATCAACACACATCTCGGCGACCTACAACCATTCCTAGTCTGCGGAAACATCTCAGACCTCATCTACTATGGTGGACCAAGAAATCGAATGTCTGCGAAGGATTTATTTAGCAGAGCGAGAATTCAAAACCCATCTATATGTAGGCCAGCGTGGCTCCAAGGTTGGAGAGCTCATCTCACCAACGGACGGCATCAGGGTTATGGAATCAGCTAGAAACAAGCTCCACATAAACTCATTAGAGATGAAAGCTGTAATCAGCGCCATAAGACATTGGAGCAACATTCTACAGAATGCGCACCTAATGATACATACCGACAACTCGACAGTGGCGTTCTATGTGAACAGGCAAGGCTCCAGCGAGATCGCCGAACCTTTTGACTTTAACCTTTCCAGTTGTTGATTAATCCAAGATCTAAATCTACATGTCAAAGCATGCCACATTCGGAGCCAGGAATATACTAGCAGAGCGCTTCTCTCGGCCACATCTACCGTCGCCGAGAATGGATGCTCAATACAGAGATATTTGCACAGATAATCAAGCAAATAAGGGGCCCGCTAAGTAGATCTATTATCTCGCCACAAGATTCAACAATCAACTTCACCGACATTCGTGTCACCAGTTCCAGACCACAAGCATGGGCAGCGGGCGGCTCTAAGCATATCATGGGAAGGCCTCAATGGGTGCGTGCCGCGTTCCTTCCCCAGCAATAATACCTCTAGTATTACAGAAAATCAGTCAAACACAGAGCCTACAACTCATTTTGGTCGCCCTACTGGCCGTCCAGAGCGTGGTTCCCATACTAATACAAGAAATCAGTCAGCGGAGACTACCCAAGCACTCAAAGCTGTTAATACATCCACACACCACCAAACGGGTGCACAGAAACCAGAAGTATTCAAACTTCACGTATGGACTGTATTAAAATGTGTTTAAACAAGAGAGGATATTCTACCAGGGCTGCAAAAGTCGCGGCTTGCCTACGATACTCAACTTCGTGGCAATGCGGCGACAAAGTGGCACAGTTTCTGAAAATTACGCGGCAAACAAGGGTTTTACAGCGAGGATGCTCGCGCATCCTCAAGTGGCAGAATATTTGTGTTACTTACGGGCAAAACAAACATTTAAAAAGGCTCGACATTGTCCACATATCTTGCAGCTTTAGTTCTGTGATTTCTATGAGAGCGGGTGTTAAATTGACAAAAAACACAAGAGTTACTGGCCTTAGTACGTGCTTTCGATTGGAGGACCAAAGCGGAAGTTCCAGCCCCAGCTTGGGATCTGAATGTAGTGCTACAACACCTCACAAGTGAGGGATTATGAACGTTGGAATCGACAACCTTTGAATTTCTCTCTCACAGAAAACAATTTTTCCTGTTATCGCTAGCCACGGCAGCCAGAATATCTGAAATTCAGCTCCTAGATTATGAGAGGATACAGTTTGATGACAATCAAAAACACAGCACCTGGGATTAAGATGGGATTTCATCGCCAAAATCAACTACCAGGCCAACCAGACAGGTTATTTCACATCCCTGCACTATCCTCGATTCTCGGATCTCAAGATACATTGGACTTATCGCTATGCCCAGTACGAGCTCTCAAAATCTATTTACGTCGTTTCCAAAACAAGCTAGAAGATCGCTCAGAAGATTGTTCATCCGTTATCGCCTACTAGTCAGACAGAAGTCTCTCGTTACCACCATATCTATATGGATAAGGACTGTCATTCTACAGCCACTTACAAGGCAGCAGGACTGGACCCTCCAACAGCATCAAATCCCCATGAAATCAGGGCATTGGCTTCCACCCTAAGCCTTCACGGTAACTGTTCATTGAATACAATTATGGAAGGATGCTTCTGGAAATCCTAACATGGTGTTTGCTTATTCACTATCTGAGAGAGATATCACCACGAGGGCGTCTCTGGCATTCACCATTTCGGTCCTTTGGTCCTGCGGCTCAGCAACTGACAGTCCCTCGTGTGGCTTAATATTCACCCCAAGAGATTATTATGTATATTATACATACATTATTTAGCTTATAACTCCCGCGGAGTTCTAGGGCTATGTATATATTTAACTTAGGTTATTCAACCTTAAGCTCATACTGAGTTTATGTTCAGTTGTACAACTTCTCTATCAGAGTGGCTTTTATATCTATACATTATTGTGTATATCAAACTATTTGAAGAAGAGGAAGTTTAGCAGATAACTATTGGGGGGACCTTTCTTCAGTATTCAGGCTACTAGAAGCTTTCATTAAGAACTTGTGTGCTGAATCTTCTACTGACATTAATCTGTTCTATGCAGGAAACAGCCTTCAGTCTGTGGTCAACCTACCGAAGCCTGTCATTTGCTGTCTTTCAGCTATTATTGTCTACCTCAAAGATTTCCACTTACAGAACGCACTACAGCTGACAGGGTAAAGCATTTCCTCCTTCATCATGTCTCTTTGTCTCTGTGTTATGTGGAACTGTCACTGAACACAAAAATATTTCTTATGAAGCATCATTTATCTCTCCAGAAGGTACATGCTTTTTTCTTGTAAAACCTTTAGAAATAGGAAAGAGATTTGTCTGAAATTGCTCAGTCACTCTTAATCCACACCAAGTCTGCATCCAGAGTCAGTACAGTCCCATATTGGAATTGGTATTTGCCCAATGAATATTGTCCCAATGTCCAGTAACTTTGGTTATGACCTTCTACAGTTCATTTACATTTCACGAGGCTAATACGAAGAGTTGAGTGCTTAGTTATACTCTATTTCACTGCATTGCAATGTAAAGCTATTTCCTACTTTAAGAAAATAAGAATTCTGTCTGAAATTTGGTTTTTAGAAGAAGTAATTGTTTCCCAATTTTGCTGCCAAGAGCACTTAGTTATTTGGAATGCCTAGTCCTCAAAATGACTTAAAGGCATGATTCTTTTATGGACAGTAACTTCGGTATCGAGTGGACAAAACTGTGAAATGGGCCTGAACTGTTGTTACAAACAATAAAGAAGTTGTTATCCATAACAGTTTCATGTCTTCATGTTATTCAAAGTTCAAAATTCCTATCAAAGACGCTCTGTGATTCAGTAACTTTCTGTGTTGGATAAACCTCATGTGTCTCAAGAATATGGATGTTTTCACATTGATATATTTGAGTACCAAGTGGGTAACAAAGGACATGTTGCTATGCTCTGTTTCAGTAATTTCAACGAGTTTTCCCTCAAGTCCAAGTTCCTGCAGCTAGGTGGCAGCACTGTGCGTAATCTGGAGTTATTTCAGAACCTGACCGATGGCCGACAGAGAGCCACGTTGTTCTGGGTCATCAACCACACTGTGACAAAGTTTGGCTGCCGGCTTCTCAGATCATGGCTTGCCAATCCACTAATGGATGTAAGGTAACAATGGTAGCCATCAGCCCCTGCCTCAGTGTAGTGTATATACCAACTGATATAGCTTACCTGCCCCGCTGGAGTGATTGGTAAAATCTCAACAGAGTGTTTCAACAAGTAATCGGTGATACAGCAGATCTTCCCATGGTTCAGAAGTTCTGCCGAGGGCGTTGACTGTATCATAATAAACACTTATACTTGTTACATTGCTTTGTGCTCTGCATTTTAGAGCAAGGCCTGATTGGTTTAGGGTTGGTATAATATGTAATGTAGCATACACAGAGGAATACATTTTGCTATATGAATACGATATTCGTTGTAACTTTAAACCTCATCGTACCTCCCAATACAATATGTGACAAAACAGAATGTGTAAAATATTTGTCTGAAGGATGTTGACATATAAATGCAGATTTGGGGTAGCCTAATGGTTAAAGTGTTCGCTTGTCACGCCAAAGACCCGGGTTCGATTCCCCACATGGGTACAATGTGTGAAGCCCATTTCTTGGGTCCCCTACTGTGATATTGCTGGAATATTGCTAAAATCTGGCGTAAAACTAAACTCACTCGCTCACTCACATATAAATGCAAGGACACTTATTTGTCAAAACTATTTTAACATCACAGAAACTTGTCTTGGGCTAGAGTCATCGTTCTAAGTTTGCTATTTGACAATGATGCCCTCTAAATGCTCAAGCCTGGCCCATACAACAACATGTGTTTCATTATCATCAGTGCATAAGAAGTGGGCTGAACATTTCTCTTTACTCAAGTAGTGAGTAGTTTTCCATATCATTATGTGTTATCCCATTCCTCTCTAGTGTTATCGGGCGGTGGGGTAGCCTAGTTGGTTAAAGCGTTCGTTTGTCACGCCGAAGACCCGGGTTCGATTCCCCATGTAGGCACAATGTGTTAAGCCCATTTCTGGTGTCCCCCGCCATGATATTGCTGGAATATTGCTAAAAGCAGCGTAAAACTAAACTCACACTCACTCACTCTAGTGTTATCCGAGAGAGACAGGAAGCTGTGGAGGAACTGGGCAGTGGGACTCTGTCTGCCATAGTGAAGCTGAGAGACATCCTGGCCAAGCTGCCGGACCTGGAGAAGGGACTCTGCTCCATCTACTACAAGAAGGTAATACAACAACATGACTGAACTGCTTGTGTAGTACATGGAGGCTAATTCAGTACAGGATCCATTATTTTGAAAAAGGAGTGCTTTCACCACCAAAGCCACAAAAATCAAAGCGCATAATAGGTATATGGGTACGATGTACGGAAAATAGGCTGATAACTTGAGATATTTAGATATTTAGCACTATTCCAGCTATAAGATGGGAGGGAACATATGTTATATTTGGGATTACACTTTCTTGGTAAAGTACAAATTCTAGTAGTTTTGTTGGGTTGAGATTCAAAGAGTCCGGCACCTAATCGCCAGCACACAAAGTCAGCCACCTAACCCACTCAGCTACTGCGACTTCCACAAAAATGGAAGTCGGACAACTGGTAGTCTAGACTGTGGACTTTGTGTACCCTTCTGTTAAGTGGAAATGGCATTGTGTAATCATTATAAGATGGGAGTGTGTAAATATTTGAGCCTAGACCAGACAATCCTGTGATCTACTCACTTAAGATACAATTACATGCATCAACCAAGTCAGCGAGCCAGACCACCCATTTCCATAAGTCGCTATTGAGGACGAGTATGTCTTGCTGGAGATCAGTACTAGCCAAGATCGTCATAGATAGAGTGTATTTGTACTGCACCAGGGTGTGTAGTGTGGTCAGGGGTACTGTACCTGACTTCTTTGTCTTTCAAATGATTGCTCTGAGGGTGAGGAGGAAACTTCCATGTTTCTATGGCTGTTTTATAGATGGGAAGTTGTTAAACTAATCTCACAAAACAAATTTGTTCTTGATCTGATGTTTCTAAGAAAGTGGCAAACGGGGAAAGAGAACCCTTCAGCATAAATGAACGGGAAAGAGAACCCTTCAGCATAAATGAACGGGAAAGAGAACCCTTCAGCATAAACAAAAGAGAACCCTTCAGCATTAATGAATGGGGAAAGAGAACTGATTAAGAATGGGGAAAGAGAACCCTTCAGCATTTGAATGGGGAAAGAGAACCAAGATTAATGAATGGGAAAGAGAACGGGGGGCAAGAGAACCCTTCAGCATAAATTCAGAAAATGAACAGGGAAAGAGAACCCTTCAGCAATAATGAACGGGGAAAGAGAACCCTTCAGCATAAATGAATGGGGAAAGAGAACCCTTCAGCATAAATGAATGGGGGAAAGAGAACCCTTCAGCATAAATGAACGGGGAAAGAGAACCCTTCAGCATAAATGAATGGGGAAAGAGAACCCTTCAGCATAAATGAACGGGGAAAGAGAACCCTTCAGCATAAATGAACGGGGAAAGAGAACCCTTCAGCATAAATGAATGGGGAAAGAGAACCCTTCAGCATAAATGAACGGGGAGAGAACCCTTCAGCATAAAATGAACCCTTCAGCATAAAATGAACGGGGGAAAGAGAACCCTTCAAACGGAGAAAAGAGAACCCTTCAGCATAAATGAACGGGGAAAGAGAACCCTTCAGCATAAATGAACGGGAAAGAGAACCCTGGGAGAACCCTTCAAAATGAATGAAAGAGAACTCCTTCAGCATAAATGAATGGGGAAAGAGAACCCTTCAGCATAAATGAATGGGGTAATTTTAAAACCCTTCAGCATAAAAATGAATGGGGAAAGAGAACCTTCAGCATAAATGGGGTCACCCTCTGAGGGATGATAAACAAAATCAAAACTGGACAGGCAGTTTGTTGATGCAGAATCACTGTCCACATGTAAGACTTGACATACAGAGGATGTTTCACATGTGTTTAATGTGTGGCCTCTTTGATTTGGCTGTGAAAGATTGAGTTAGACTGGATACATTTGGAACTGTGAGGCCACAATATGACAGATGCTGCAGTAAATAAGTGTTAACATGCAAAGTAATCATACCTCCTTCTTGGAGTATAACCTCTGTTATAGATCTTAGTGACGATTTGCTTGTTCCAGTGCTCCACAGGTGAATTTTACCTAGTGTGTAAGGCTCTAGAGAAGATGTTTAAGGAGATGAAGAGTCTGTCTAGCTCTGTAGGAGACCAGGTCAAATCCGCTTTGATACGGACAATACTGACTGAAGTACCAGGTCTGCTTGGGGAGGTGAAGAGCTTTTCTGGACTTATCAATGAGAAAGCTGCAAGGTATGAGTAGATAGAAAACAGTAACCATACGTCTTATAATGCACACCTTTTACCTAAACATTACAGCTGTGTAGCAGGAGGTATGTGTTGTTTGCACAGGCAATAATGTTTTTCCCCCAAACACTACCCAAAATAGCAAGTTTGTAAATTTGTAGTGAAGGTATTTTTATTCTAATACTATTTTGTGATCAGTGGTGTTCAAAGTACTGCCATCTCTTGTCCAGTTTCCTTTCTTTTCTTCAAATTTGGACTTGAATGATTTGTGAAATTGGGATGTTGTTGAATGTTTCAGAGAGAATGACAAACCCAACCTGTTCAGTGATGAAAGTAGGTTTCCCAAGATAGTCAGCAGAAAGAAGGAGCTGACTGATGTGCAGCTGGAGCTGAAGGACCACCTCCGTGACGTCCGCCGCACCGTCAGACAACCTGCTCTCAACTACGTCACTGTGTTACAGACAGAGGTCAGAAAAGCATGGAAGCAGCTGATGTATATACTGTGCATGTTGTAGTTATTCCTGAAATCTATAACAGATGTCTTTCATGTTTTACCAGTCATACAAATTTAGTTCACTGTGACTTCCCTGATGTGAAACTATTTTGACTTTTGGAAGCATGCAGTATTTGACTGATCTAATTTCTGGTCTGGATGTGATAAGTGAAAGCTGTGTGTGTCTAGATGTTGGCAGTGAATGGTCTGTGGGTCTTGAGGTTATCAGTAAATGTTGCTTGGGTCTAGATGTAATCAATGAATGTTTTGTGGGTCTTCATGTTAGCAGTGAATGCCCTGTGGGTCTAGATGATATCAGGGAATGCCCTGTAGGTCTAGATGTTGGCAGTGAATGCCCTGTGGGTCTAGATGTTGGCAGTGAATGCTGTATTGGTCTTGATGTTAGCAGTGAATGCCCTGTGGGTCTAGATGTTACCAGGGAATGCCCTGTGGGTCTAGATGTTGGCAGTGAATGTTCTGTGGGTCTAGATGTTACCAGTGAATGCCCTGTAGGTCTAGATGTTGGCAGTGAATGCCCTGTGAGTCTAGATGTTGGCGGGGAATGCCCAGTGGGTCTAAATGTTGGCAGATGTAATCAGTGGATGCTGTATGGATCTAGATGTTTCAGTGAATGCCCTATTGGTCCAGATGTAATCAGTGAATGCTGTATGGATCTAGATGTTTCAGTGAATGCCCTATTGGTCCAGATGTAATCAGTGAATGCTGTATGGATCTAGATGTTTCAGTGAATGCCCTATTGGTCCAGATGTAATCAGTGGATGCTGTATGGATCTAGATGTTTCAGTGAATGCCCTGTAGGTCTAGATGTTGGAAGTGAATATTGTTTGGGTCTAGATGTTTTTAGTGAATGCCCTGTGGGTCTAGATGTTGGCAGGGAATGACCTGTGGGTCTTGATGTTATCAGTGAATGCCCTATGGGTCTAGATGTTGGCAGTGAATGTTCTATGGGTCTAGATGTTAGCAGTGAATTGCCCTGTGGGTCTAGATGTTAGCAGTAAATGTTCTGTCGGTCTAGATGTTATCAGTGAATGCCCTGTGGGTCTAGATGTTGGCAGTGAATATTGTTTGGGTCTAGATGTTTTCAGTGAATGCCTGTGGGTCTAGATGTTGGCAGTGAATGCCCTGTGGGTCTTGATGTTATCAGTTAATGCCATGTGGGTCTAGATGTTGGCAGTGAATGTTCTGTCGGTCTAGATGTTATCAGTGAATGCCCTGTGGGTCTAAATGTTGGCAGTGAATGTTGTTTGGGTGTAGATTTTAGCAATGAATGCCCTGTGAGTGTAGATGTTGGCAGTGAATGTTCTGCCGGTCTAGATGTTAGCAGTGAATGCCCTGTGGGTATAAATGTTGGCAGTGAATGTTCTGCCGGTCTAGATGTTTTCAGTGAATGCCCAGTGGGTCTAGATGTTGGCAGTGAGATGTTTTCTGTGCCCTGTGGGTCTATGTTGGCATGAATGTTTGTCGGTCATGTTATCAGTGAATGCCCTGTGGGTCTAGTGGTGAATCTGGGTCTATGGCAGTGAATGTTTTGTTGGTTTAGATGTTTTCAGTGAATGTTCTGATGTTGGCTCTAGTCTATATGTTATCAGTGAATGCCCTGTGAGAGTCTGTTGTTTGGTCTAGATGTTAGCAGTGAATGTTCCTGTGGGTCTAGATGTTATCAGTGAATGTTCTGTGGGTCTAGATGTTGGAAGTGAATGTTGTTTGGGTCTAGATGTTAATGAATGCCCTGTGGGTCTGGATGTTGGCAGTGAATGTTCTGTCGGTCTATGTTATCAGTGAATACCCTGTCAGTCTAGATGTTTTCAGTGAATGCCATGTGGGTCTAAATGTTGGCGGTGAATGTTGTTTGGGTGTAGATTTTAGCAATGAATGCCCTGTGAGTGTAGATGTTGGCAGTGAATGTTCTCCCGGTCTAGATGTTAGCAGTGAATGCCCTGTGGGTATAAATGTTGGCAGTGAATGTTCTGCCGGTCTAGATGTTTTCAGTGAATGCCCAGTGGGTCTAGATGTTGGCAGTGAGTGTTCTGTCGGTCTAGATGTTTTCAGTGAATGCCCTGTGGGTCTGGATGTTGGCAGTGAATGTTCTGTCGGTCTATGTTATCAGTGAATGCCCTGTGGGTCTAGATGTTTTCAGTGAATGCCCTGTGGGTCTAGATTTTGGCAGTGAATGTTTTGTTGGTTTAGATGTTTTCAGTGAATGCCCTGTGGGTCTAGATGTTGGCTGTGAATGTTCTGTCAGTCTATATGTTATCAGTGAATGCCCTGTGAGTCTGGATGTTGGCAGTAAGTGTTGTTTGGGTCTAAATGTTAGCAAAGAATGTTCTGCCGGTCTAGATGTTATCAGTGAATGCCCTGTGGGTCTAGATGTTGGAAGTGAATGTTGTTTGGGTCTAGATGTTATCAGTGAATGCCCTGTGGGGCTGGATGTTGGCAGTGAATGTTCTGTCGGTCTATGTTATCAGTGAATACCCTGTCAGTCTAGATGTTTTCAGTGAATGCCATGTGGGTCTAAATGTTGGCGGTGAATGTTGTTTGGGTCTAGATGTTAGCAATGAATGCCCTGTGAGTCTAGATGTTGGCAGTGAATGTTCTGCCGGTCTAGATGTTAGCAGTGAATGCCCTGTGGGTCTAAATGTTGGCAGTGAATGTTCTGCCGGTCTAGATGTTAGCAGTGAATGCCCTGTGGGTCTAAATGTTGGCAGTGAATGTTCTGCCGGTCTAGATGTTAGCAGTGAATGCCCAGTGGGTCTAGATGTTGGCAGTGAGTGTTCTGTCGGTCTAGATGTTTTCAGTGAATGCCCTGTGGGTCTGGATGTTGGCAGTGAATGTTCTGTCGGTCTATGTTATCAGTGAATGCCTTGTGAGTCTAGTGAATGCCCTATGCGCCCAGATGTTAGCAGTGAAAAATACATAGTGAAGAATTTGTCAATGGATGCTGTATGGATCTAGATGTTTCAGTGAATGCCCTATTGGTCCAGATGTAATCAGTGAATGCTGTATGGATCTAGATGTTTCAGTGAATGCCCTATTGGTCCAGATGTAATCAGTGAATGCTGTATGGATCTAGATGTTTCAGTGAATGCCCTATTTTCAGGTCCAGATGTAATCAGTGAATGCTGTATGGATCTAGATGTTTCAGTGAATGCCCTATTGGTCCAGATGTAATCAGTGGATGCTGTATGGATCTAGATGTTTCAGTGAATGCCCTATTGGTCCAGATGTAATCAGTGGATGCTGTATGGATCTAGATGTTTCAGTGAATGCCCTATTGGTCCAGATGTAATCAGTGGATGCTGTATGGATCTAGATGTTTCAGTGAATGCCCTATTGGTCCAGATGTAATCAGTGAATGCTGTATGGATCTAGATGTTTCAGTGAATGCCCTATTGGTCCAGATGTAATCAGTGAATGCTGTATGGATCTAGATGTTTCAGTGAATGCCCTATTGGTCCAGATGTAATCAGTGGATGCTGTATGGATCTAGATGTTTCAGTGAATGCCCTATTGGTCCAGATGTAATCAGTGAATGCTGTATGGATCTAGATGTTTCAGTGAATGCCCTATTTGTCCAGATGTAATCAGTGGATGCTGTATGGATCTAGATGTTTCAGTGAATGCCCTATTGGTCCAGATGTAATCAGTGGATGCTGTATGGATCTAGATGTTTCAGTGAATGCCCTATTGGTCCAGATGTAATCAGTGGATGCTGTATGGATCTAGATGTTTCAGTGAATGCCCTATTGGTCCAGATGTAATCAGTGGATGCTGTATGGATCTAGATGTTTCAGTGAATGCCCTATTGGTCCAGATGTAATCAGTGGATGCTGTATGGATCTAGATGTTTCAGTGAATGCCCTATTGGTCCAGATGTAATCAGTGAATGCTGTATGGATCTAGATGTTTCAGTGAATGCCCTATTGGTCCAGATGTAATCAGTGAATGCTGTATGGATCTAGATGTTTCAGTGAATGCCCTATTGGTCCAGATGTAATCAGTGGATGCTGTATGGATCTAGATGTTTCAGTGAATGCCCTATTGGTCCAGATGTAATCAGTGAATGCTGTATGGATCTAGATGTTTCAGTGAATGCCCTATTTGTCCAGATGTAATCAGTGAATGCTGTATGGATCTAGATGTTTCAGTGAATGCCCTATTGGTCCAGATGTAATCAGTGGATGCTGTATGGATCTAGATGTTTCAGTGAATGCCCTATTGGTCCAGATGTAATCAGTGAATGCTGTATGGATCTTGATATTAGCAGTGAATGTTCTATGGGTTCTGATGATAGCAGTGAATTCCCTGTGTTAATTTGAGACAGTCAGTGTTATGAAGGTATGCCTAATTTACAGCTGAGCATAAACAGCTTAGTTGATTATGGAACAGTTTAGGACGGCAAGTTGGCCTTACTGTCAACTCTGTTAGGGGAAATTCTGAACTCCATCTGTATTTAATTTCATTTATGTACATCACTCAACACAGTGTTATATGTCCACCTGCACTAGTTGACTGACAGAGGGGACACACAGACAGACTCCTGTATCACATACAAAATTAGTTCCCGCCACTAGTGATACGTAGTTGCATATCTGTGTTGTGTTGACTGCAGGTGGTGTGATTCAGAGATATTACCCTTTGTTGTAGTTTCTGGTTGAGGTACGGAACACCCAACTTAAACTCGTACCCCATGACTGGACCAAGATTAGCAGGTTAGTTATGTTGTAACTTGTGATGAACTGTCTTACACAGGAGATATCACTTGGGGGTGATTAAGTGATATATACAACAGATACTTGCTATCTAATTGCATCACAATGCTTTGTAGACTATTGTGATGTCATCGGTTACATTGATGTCATAATTAAGTGACATCACTAATCCATCTGTCGCTGAGTCTTGTTAGATTACAAACACTCTTGACGCTGGGTATTACTGCAATCTGAGAAAGTAGCAAGAATGATTTTGGATGAAATTTGAAAAGTAGAATCTGACCCTCACATAAGAGAAAAGTAAGAAGTGGAAGGTTTGCACATGTGTGAAAAGAAAAATATATTTGACTATTAAGATAACTTGTTGTTAACAGAGTTGTGACTGTTTTTCTGTCTCTAGTACGAAGGCAGTGAGCAGGTTCCACACACCCGTCATTGTAGAGAAGTACAAGCTGATGAACCAGCTGCGGGAACAGTTGGTGCTGGACGCGACGGATGCATGGAGGGATTTCCTACAGTATGTGCTGTACCATTGCAGAATATGAATGATTGTGACCTTGGAAAACTCATTATAATATTCTGAAAAAACGTCCTTCAGTACGATTGAAATATATATAGTGATAAGTGAAATCATTCTCTTCCCACAGAGCTTACTTGTCATACCTTCCTACGAACCTCTGTTCTAATACGGCCCTTTCATGGTGCGAGTGTTCAGGATTCATGATTGGTTGCAATCAGATTTAGTTGTGCAATCGGCGACATTGTTTCAATCAATCAAATCAATCAAATCTTTATTTCTGATACTATGAGGCCACGGGCCTATGAGTACAAAAACACCTCATCGGTGCAGACATGAAATAAAATGTTAACAATGAAAGCATGTATAATATATACAATCTTAATATGACAAAATTGATTTCCTTTTTTTCGAATGCATAAAACAGATATTTAGCAGTATTCAAGGAAATGTCTTCATTTTTGGATGATAACAACGAATTGAATTTTAGCATACTGGGGAAAACATAGAATTGCGACAAAAGATATTTACGTCTTAATTCAATGTAGGCTGGACAAATAAGTAAGAAGTGATATTCATTTTCAATTACGCTTAAGTTACACATTTTGCATGTTCTTTGTTCCCGGGAATGTTATAGTAACGCCCTGTTTCAATTTCTAAACTATGGGAACTTAACCTAAATCGTGATAAACAAGATCTATATTTGGATACAGTAATATGAGTTAAGTATGTTTCACAAGAAATCGCTAATTTAAAATTACAATATGTAAACATTTTGGGGCTCTCAGATAAATCACTATGGCAAACTTGCCGAAAATTATCTTTCAGTCGCTTGAAAAACATTTTAACAAAAACGTTTTTATCTCCGTAAGTGTGTGATACCCAAACATCACCAAAACCTAATTTAAATATGATATTTCTAACCTTGGTAACCCAGTTCTCATAGCCTTGCTCATCAAACATAATGATCATATTGTAACATTTTCGAGGCAAACGGCATCCAGGCATGTTAATAAGATTTAACCAATATTTAATACATTTTAAAACAGCAGATAGTTGGACAGGATATCTACCACACTCGGCTAATACTCCATTATTGGACGTTGATAACTTAACGTTTAGAAAACGTTTGCAGGCATATAAATGTACTTTTTCCAGTTCTTCAATATTATTAAGCCCCCAAATTTCAGCCCCATAGAGGAGAATTGGTGTTATCTTTGTATCGAATAATTTGAAGTACAGATGAGGCGAGAGTGGTTTCAAACAATGTATACTACTAAGAAGTAATGACAGCATTTTTCTGGCTTGAATAGAAATATTGTCAAACGCTTTTGACCACTGTAAACTATTACTAAAATACAATCCGAGATAACAATATCCTGAAACAACTTCAACAACACTACCATTATAAAACCATTTTTCATACCGAGATAAACCACCTCCTTTCTTAAAAACAACAATTTTAGTTTTATGCATGTTGACTGACAATTTCCATTCTGAACAGTACCTATTAAGAACATTTAGTTTAAACTGCAGACTTCTCACGCTGTTCCCGAACAAAATAAGGTCATCCGCAAATAAAAGAAGGAAAATATGAGTAACATCTGGATGTAGCTGGACACCAAACCGACATTCAGTTTCAATTACATTAACTAATTCATTTATATAAAACTGAAACAAAAAGGGGCTGAGCATACACCCTTGTCTGACTCCCATTGGGCAATCAAATACACGAGATAAACTACTATTTGAGCTTAACACAAGATTTTACACTATTATAAATAGACTCTAACATTTTACCCATTTTACTTACTCAGACCGTGTTTATATAATAACTTCCAAAGAAAATGTCTTTGAACAGAATCGAAAGCTTTCGAGAAATCGACAAAAGCTACATAGAATTTACCACCTTTGCAGGAAAGATAACGCTCGATAATAGAATTCAGAACAAAACAATTGTCAACCACTGAATAACCTTTTCAAAACCTGATTGACACTCAGAAATTTTACTCAACACATCAGCCCAGCACACTAATCGCTGATTCAGGATGTACGTGAAGACTTTGCTGAGGATACTCAGGAGGCTTATTGCTCTGTAGTTGTCGGGGATAGAAGTGTCACCTTTCTTATGAAAAGGAATAATTATTCCTGTAGACCAGGTCTCTGGGAATTTACCCTTTGGTACATACTATTGAATATTATTTCGAGGTATGGAACGATTACATGGGAGGAATGTTTAAGATATTCACTCAATATGTCATCAAGTCCTGAGATTTGTTGTTCTTTAGCCTCGAGACTGCTAATGATCTCCAATCTTGTTAAGGGGAATCCAGAATATCTTCAGTGATTACCTTATAGAATCTGGGGATCTTCTATATCATGTATATCGCCATTTATACATTCTAAATTATCTGGACTGTCGTGAGAGGGTAGAGAAATAATCCACCCAGTCTCCAATATCTATGGGGTTTGGGCACAGTTTACGACCTGATAAACGTTTTATTGTACCCCAAAACGTTTCGAGTCAGTTGTCGAGGTCTCCAAATCATCTCTCTGACGCTTGAATATATACTTCTTTCTTTGTTCGACATAAGGACTTGTATTCACTGCATGTTTTCTTATATTTCAACAAGAATGATTTGTCTTTTGATTTTCTAAAAGCATTTAGAAACTGACATCGTTCATGCTTTTTAGAGAGGCATTCACTATCGCACTACATGGTGAAGTGCTGCTTTTGTGACTTTCTGGTCGCCTAAACATGGAGGCAGCTGAAAGGATGGCGTCCGTGAATATCGAGACTGCTTCTGCTACATTAGTCAATGAACACATGGCTGCTTGTTCGAGTAATGCTAAAGTCTCCGAGGATTCCATATGATGAAGAAAGTTGAGTTTACACGACTCCTTCCATATGTACCTGCACTGATCTATATGGGTAGAGGTCGGGTTCGCAAAGAGCTACCGGGTATATTGACCTCTAGCTGTATGGGAAGATGCTGGGATTCAGACCGTGACACTATGTGAAAGTTGGCGATTAAAGGAACATATCCGTGGACGCAAGAATATAATCAATCACACTACATCCTAAATGACCTAAGAAGGTAAAATCACCAATGCCGGAATCACTTCCACATCTCCCGTTTACGATATGTATATTCAGTATTGCGCACAAATTCAGTAATGTTTGCCCAAAACTGTTCACAGTCTTGTCACATGAATATCTTACCATCTCAAATTCTGTGAAAAATTCACTTACAAAATCTTTACCCTCAACATGTTGGATAATTGAATCTTCCATATAGTCAGGCTTAAATACCAGTCCTGCTGTCCATATCCCCTAAAACAAGGACTGAGAAAACAGAGTGTGTTTCTACCACTTTCAGTATAAAATTAAGCAAAATTTCCACCCCATTCCTCGCATCCTTGTCAGCATACCAGCTTGAACCTTGTGGATGGACATAACTAAAAACACAAATAATATCTGTGTCAAATCCAAACATTTCCTTGTCAAACGATATCAAAATAGCATTTTCGCCATAAACCACATCAATAATATATTTAACATAAAAACATTTTATCATAACTAATATTCCTCCAGAATGTCTTCCAAAATTGGTAAGCTTTGTTGCTGGTAAGCAAAAATATCTATAACCTGGAAAATACAAACTAAAGTCTGTATCAGTTGTCCATGTCTCATAAAAAGCAACAATATCATTTGATAGTTTAAAGTGAATAAATTCATTATCATGTAATTTGTTTGATAAGCCACCAATATTCCACGAGAGAATTGATAAGTAATTGTCTGTTAAGCCCTGGCCTCCCTGCTATTTTCTCGAGGTGGATTTGACCTTCGACATTGACCTGAGCACGCCGTCACGGTCATGTGTAGATGTACCAGACGGCGCAGTGATCCTCTTTCATCCGTGACGCCAGCAGACGGCGGACTCTTGGTCACCTCAGGACTCTCAGAGGGTGCTAGATCCTCCACAACCAGCCTTCCATTCTTGTAGAACCCTCGCTTGTTCTCCTCCATCGTAGTTGGCTCAGTGTCTGACGTTGTCGCTGGTCAGGTCGCTAGCTACTCCAATGTTGTGTTTACCAAGTTCAGGGCCGGTCCTTCAGTACTGCGATCTTCTTCATACTGTCCACAAACTTAGCTTATCATGGGTCTAGCTTTTCCAGGGATGGGTTTCCCTATCCTGTGAGCTCTGGTAATGTCTTGTAGCACAACTGGATCATTAGATCTTACCGTATTCAGAGTGTCTACAACTTTTTGTTTACATGCGTCACCACCTTCATCACGTGACTCAAGTATGCCATATATGAGTAAATTGTCCCGCCTACTTATCGCTTCCAGCCTATCAACTTCGTCCTTCAACTGCTCGAGTTGCTCGTGCGTGTCGTGAGCTATGTTGGCCGTTTCATGAATGAACTGTACTTCATTCTCCAGATGACTTGTTTTTTTAGAAACATTATCAATGTCAAGTTTCAATGACATTGTTTCAAAAGTGATCATTCGCAAGGCCTTGGTAATTTCCGTATGCTTTGGGAAAACTGGAACCTCTTCGCTTACCCAATACGCAAAGGTTTCTTCTAGACAGAACAATGGCGTCACCATGGCCCTCGTTGACAATGGACCAGCTTGCCATTCTTGTGTGTCACATCAACACAAGTCCCCGGCAGAGAAGAGGGATATTTGTGGCCCTGTTTTTACTTGCATCGATGTAACATGTGTTCTGATTGGATAGAAAGAAGGGAGGTAATTCATGTTGCGACTTCTTGACGCTAGGGGATTTTATGAGAACCGGGAAATATGGCCGTATTAGAACAGAGGTTCGTAGGAAGATATGACAAGTAACCTCTGTGGGAAGAGAATGAAGTGAAATATATGTTACAATATTTTACCCACATATACACATACAACATATTATTTGTCAATTAATCACTGTTGGTATTATGTGATGCAAAGCTATATTTGAAGAAGTTTTCGGTCCTCCACTTTCTGGTGCTTGATTACTGGAATGGGGACTGGGTGGGAGATTCTGTGACTTGCTGATTGCATGTCACCGTGACCCTGTTAGGTTCTCCACTTTCTGGTGCTTGATGACTTTAATAGGTATCTGGTGGAAAACTTGCTGATTGCATTATTACTTGCAGAGGTGCCAACCACTCTGATTTTGGCAGAGTTACACTGATTTTCAAATACAAAATCTGCTCTACGATTTCTCTTGCAAAACTCCAATTTTTTAGAAAAAATTCTGAATTTATTTTTACAGTATACAATTTTGTATGTCACCGGTGATTTATTTGAGTGAACACTGGTAAAAGCATTCAGAAGCTTAGCGTGTGATCCTTTGGGTGTCGATTGTGTATATTGCGTGTTATTGATGATGAAGTTTCACAAAGTTTTTCGAATACATGTCATAGTCCGTATGAAAGTGAAACAAAATGGCAGAGCTGACCATGCGCTCACCCCCAACTCGCACCTTTGGTGCTCAGGCCTGGATTTCAGCCAGTTATGACTCAACTTTCCTGAGATTCAGGGTTGGCATCTCTGTTACTTGTAATTATCATTGGCATTTGAACAATTTGTTCACTACTCTGTTTATTATAAGTTCAGCATTCAATAAAATTCTAAGCGTCCATGGGGCTTATTAACACAAATATGTTACATTATTTTCTCAGTGCAGGAAAGCTTTGCATCATTATCATGAAATTGAAAAAGAAAATGCAACCCTATAATAGTTTGATATCTGGATGATGATGATCTCAAAAATGACTTAGCAAAATATTTGTCAAAGGAGATTTTCTGTATGATCACATAGGATCGGTGGTCGTCAAGCTAAAGGCACGGGTTTGATCCCCCACATAGGTACAATGTGTGAAGCCCATTTCTTGTGTCTCCTGCCTTGATATTGCTGGAATATTGTTAAAGGTGGCATAGAACTAAACTCAATCAATCAATCAATCAATCAATCAAGTGACTGTTTTGCAGGGAGTTCTCAGAGCACTACCTTCAGTTCAAGAGGGGAATACAGCACCTGGCTACTCTAGACTCTCTCCTGTCTCTGTCTACAGTAGCTCTGCAGAATGGATACTGCAGGTTGGTTTTTGTGCATTCAGTATTGATTTACTACATGATCAATGTACTTCTCATATTAATCTTTCTACTGAAATATTAAAGATGTTGTTACAAAATTTAGAACTGGGCAGATTTTTGCTCACAAGGATCACTAAATCTATGAAATAAAATCTTAACTTTAACGATTCAAAAACAGAAACACAAACTGCCCTTATATTTGGTTGTTTTGTTTGTTTATTTATTGTTTAATATCACACATAGCAGCGGTCTGTAAATAATCAAGTCTGGACCAGACAATCCAGTGATTGACATCATGAGCATCAATCTATGCAATTGGGATACAACGACTTGTGTCAACCAAGTCAGCAAGCCTGACAACCCGATGCCATCAGTCACCTCTTACGAAAGGCATGGGTTGCGAAAGACCAGTGCCCTTATACAAAAATATTATCCCCAACTGTATACATTCACATCATATTCACCGAAAGTGTGAATATTAGAATTTCAATAATAAATAGATGTACTTTCATTTCCTAATTTCATTCCCGATTGTTGAATATAGTCTACCAAGTGCTACAGTGCAGTACATGAAACACCAGATCCACACAAACGTGTGCAATTTGTCCATTGACCAAGGACCTAAGATCTACTCTTCCTTTTGTTTATGTGTTCTCATTGTTCCAGGCCTGAAGTGGTCGATGATGCTGTGTGTGTGGAGATTGACCAGGGACGACACCCTGTCATAGACATTCTCAAGGCTGACCATGAACAGTTTGTGCCCAATGATACACAGTTGCAGGTAGGCTGTCAGTGTGTGTGGAGATTGGTTATGTCCGATCAGAGCTCAGATAAGATTTAGCTCATGTGGGTATTGTACCCACTGTATCTTTTTTGGAGTGGGTATTATGAAGGTTGAGTGGGTATTTCATTTTCCGTTACCCACTGCTTTCAAACATGTGGGTATTTCAGTGATTTTACTCACCTAAGTATATATCATTGAGTAAGTTTACTAAGCAGGTATGTACTGCCTTATGTCATACTGAAGCAAAACCAACTTAAATATAATGGAAATGATTTCATAAAAAATCACTCATCCTGTACTGACAGTACAACACTAGTCCTATACTAACAATACAACTTGATACCAATCGATGTCTTTTTCATTACGCGAAGTGATTTTTATAGATATATTCCATATGTGCGTATCTAACATTTTAAATGCGTAATTGGTACGCAACAATTATTTTTCAGTGCGTAATTGGAAATTTTCTGTGTTTATTTTACCCAAATACGCAGCTTATCTTGGCCTCTGTCCGATACATTATAGACCTTCTCAAGTCTTTCAACGTTTACATGAATGTTTTTTTAGTATTTTACCTCATACATCTGCACCTTGCTAATCCAGGATAATTATCTTCCATAGATTATACTACACACCTGGACTCATTCACTACCAAAGCTTAGTTTTAAGTCTGACACAGAGTTATTGTGGATACTAAATTTAGTTCTAATACCTGATAACACCCACAAACAAGAGAAGTTCTGTGAGAACATCCTGATAAGAGAGGTAGAGATGATGAAATCACTTCAAAAACTTGCAAGCACAGTAGCTTGGAGATGAAAACATAAACATACTGCTGCAGTAATATTTCTTGTGCATGTTTTGTGTTGAGACTTAAGAATGACTAAGTGTGAGAATGTTAGAACCCCGTTCCACCAGGAGATCACAGTCTATGTCTATTTTAAAGTACGGGAGTTACAGCCACCTAACGCTATGATAGCTTTGTGGAATGGACACCAGTGACATTGACAGTGTAGCCAGAAAGCTTGAGCATGGAGTCCAACTTACAACTTTTGTCGGTAGTCTATCCATAAACTGGTGTCACAGTGGTAAGAGAAATCCTTGTAATGTGAACATTTCCTTGTTAATCTGTTGAGCACAGGCAAGTGCTGAGCGAGTGATGATTATCACAGGACCCAACATGGGAGGCAAGAGCTCCTACATCCGACAAGTTGCGCTGATCTCCATCATGGCTCAGATTGGGTCGTTTGTTCGAGCCGACAGAGTCAAACTGGGTGTGCTTGATGCTATATATACAAGGTAGGCCTAAAGATAGTTCACACAGCCCACCAAGAAACTACTCCATCATTGGACATGGGGCCTTAGTATGGTGATCTACCTTCAGTTGTTGGCGATCTATAGCCCGTATTTTATATTGTATTGTCTTCTTTAATTGGAATACCTAAACTTTGATAGTTTTATACTGTGATTTTCTAGTCTTTTTCCTGTCCATCGTCGACAGGTTTTAATCTTCAAAATGTTTCTACTTTTTATTGTATGGCTTGTTTTCGTCACGATATGGCTGCAATATTGCCGATGTGACGTTAAATATTCACTCACTCACTCATTGGACATGGGTCTAGAGTTGCAATGCTCTTTTGTGGCAATATCAGATCATCAAGGATTTGCATTGGGTTTTTGGACTTTTCAGCAAAGGTCTTTAAGTTCTATCACTTTGGGTTGGTTGGTTTGTTGTTTAACGCTACACTCAGCAATATTCCAGCTATATGGTGGTGGTCTGTAAATAATCGAGTCTGGACCAGACAATCCAGTGATCAAACTAATGATACACAGTTACAGGTAGGCTGTCAATGTGTGTGGAGATTGGTTATGGCCGACACATTATAGACTTTCTCAAGGCCGATCTACACAATTGGAATACAATGACATGTGTCAAGCAAGTGGTAGTGGCTATAATGTGATATCACAAAGAGATACAGAAAGACATCAAGGCATCAACACAGCACCCAATGTAACAGAATCAGGAGACAAAATGTGTGATACCTGCATAAACTTGGTCCATTTAGGTGATCTGTCTTATTCTTGCAGTGAAATATCTAACACTGGAATAACAGCTCTAGCACACTTGATGTATTACTACACCAACTTCTAAATGGCTTTGACACATTGAAAGAGTGCTCATGTATAAATCATATTTACAGACCGCCATACAATTAAAACTGAAGGTTATTGGTATAAATCGATATTTTACATTAAAACTTAAGGTTATTGCATGATTCCAGAGAATGATAAAAGATTGTACATCTGTTTACCCTAAAACATGCTCTGTGATACGGGGTAAAAGAAGGACATGTTGGCCTACCATGACTATATGTCTGTGTGGTCTATTCATGATAAACTGTTGCACTGTATCTGTATGGGCAATATTAAATTTTCATCAGTCCAGTGAGTGAGTGAGTTTGGTTTTACGGCGCTGTTAGCAATATTCCAGCTATATCATGGCAGGGGACACCATCATGGGCTTCACACATTGTACCCATTTGGGGAATCAAACCCGGGCCTTCAGCGTGACGAGCAAATGCTTTAACCACTACGCTACCCCACCGCCTGTCATCAGTCCAGACTTGTACCAGTACATACATGCACACGCAAGCACACGCAAGCATAACCACAAACACATACTCTGCTGATAATTTCACACACAATTTCTCCAAACCTCACCAACAAGTGACAAGACTTTTCTCCTATACCGTAGAATGGGTGCAGCCGATGAGATCTTCAAGGGGCGCAGCACCTTCATGGTGGAACTGGAGGAAGCGTCTGACATCATGGCCCACGCCACGGAGAGGTCTCTCGTCATCATGGACGAGCTTGGCAGAGGGACTTCCACCCATGATGGAGTGGCCATTGCCTATGCCACCCTCAACTTCTTTATCAAAGAAGTGCGTATATTATTGTTATTGATGTTTATAACTTTACAAATATTGTGCAAATGGTGACATATATGAGATTGTTTAAAAAGTAATATGTTTTAGTACACATTTATTTTAAAAAATGACAAATTCTTCAAATAACTGAAAGTGGCAAGCCATTTCTGGTGTTCAGGTATTTCTTGCTAAAACAGCATGGACCCATACTAGCTCACGCACTTGATCACTGAAGCAAAACGTTCAACATATGATAAAACATTTACTGACTTGGTTGTCTCTTTTGTCGGTGGACAGCAGTTTGTGGTACAAGGCGAGTAAATTTAATAACGTGTTGTTGGCATGTCATCAACACTTTTTCATGGGGCATTGCCCGTAACGTCAGCACTTCGACACTGTCAGGTTCATAGTCTGTATAGTTACATGATGTAACTAAACTGTTGCTGACATTCTGGACTTATTCAATCTCCTGATGTTGCCTTTTGGTTACAAACGTTTTTAGTCTTGAAACCTTTTTATGGGTAACAATTTCTTTATTGGTAAAGATGATAAAGATGAAGGAAGTAGCTCTGAGACTTTGATATCCATGAAAAGTTTCATCAAATATTTCCTACATCCTCCTTAATTCCACTTTGAGACTAATGACGATATTGTTTGTTATTGTTCCATAGGTGAGGAACTTGACGCTCTTCGTAACCCACTACCCTATGTTGTCGGAGTTCGAGAGCATGTATCCTGACATCGTTGGCAACTATCACATGTCCTTCCTGCTGCATGAAGATGATGGTGGGTACAGTGATACACCAATAGGGGTGGTTGGTTGGTTGGGTTGGCTTGTGTTGGGTTGGTTGGTTGGTTGGGTTGGCTTGTGTTGGGTTGTTGGTTGGTTGGCTTGTGTTCTGTTGTTGGTTGGGTTGTTGGTTGGTTGGTTGGTTGTTGGTTGGTTGTTGGCTGGTGTTGGGTTGGTTGGTTGGTTGGGTTGGCTTGTGTTGGGTTGTTGGTTGGTTGGCTTGTGTTCGGTTGTTGGTTGGTTGGGTTGTTGGTTGGTTGGTTGGGTTGGGTTGTTGGTTGGTTGGTTGGGTTGGCTTGTGTTGGGTTGTTGTTAACGCCACACTCAGCAATATTCCAGCTATATGGCGGCGGTCTGTAAATAATGGAGTCTGGACCAGACAATCCAGCGGTCAACATCATGAGCATCTATCTACACAATTGGGATATGATGACTTGTGTCAACCATGTCAACAAGCCTGACCACACGATCCCATTAGTCGCCTCTTACGACAAGCATGGGTTCCTGAACACCAATTCTAACCTGGATCTTCACGGGTACAGTAGGGGTGGTGGCAGTGATACACCAGTAGGGTTATATAAAGACAAACATTGCATGTTTACAAAAGTTGACACTGCTGATTGTGTATCATCTACGGCAACAAGTGGGCCTTTGCAAAAGCGGCTGAATACCTTGGACTGGACTCATTCAGTAAAAAAATAATGTGTTAAGATATAAAGGGAATATTGCTTCCTTTCTAAGTTGTATCATTCATTAAGTCCCCTGTGTGATTATTCCCTACAGATGAGGATGACGGTAATGTGATCACGTTCCTCTACCAACTGGTGCGTGGTGTCGCCGCCAAGAGCTATGGACTGAACGTGGCCAGGCTGGCAGACATAGCAACAGACGTCATCAAACTGGCCACTCAGAAGTCATCAGAGTTTGAACAGAATGTCCTCCACAAAAGGTTAGAACAGGTTACAGGCTCATCACTATCAGAGGACATTTCTATACGAGATTCTTGAGAATCAATATAATAATATGAACATTGTGTCTTCTCAATCTGAAGGCACAGATCACATGATGATTGATACATGTTCAGAATGCTGTGTGAAATAGCTACATTATTGTATTCATGGGATGTCAAATGGAAGTAATTGTTTCTTCAAATGTGTCCAGATCACCATTTTGAACTTTCACATGTTGTTTTATTTCAGAAACACAATGCAACTCTTACTCTCCTGCTTTGGAAACGAGTCTGACGTACTGCAAGCTGTGAAAACCCCTTGCAACACAGATGCTTGACATCAGATGGATTTATCAAAGCTGCAAACAAAATTCATATTCAAATTCCCAAACCTGCATACGGAATATGTTCAAGCATACAGCAGGCATTGACGGTTGTTCCATGTGCCTTTAACTGTCCTGGAAAGCAACAAGGCCATGATAATGACCTGGCCCAACCAGTTCAGTACATCCTCCATCACCTGGTGTATTTTCATCATTCTGATATGATAAATACCCTGGCCCCATTTGCTGCCATGGCTTGTTTTGCCCAATTTTGATACCCATGAAGATCCGGGTTAGAATAGGTCTTCAGCCGCCCATACTTGTTGTAAGAGGCGACTAACAGGATCAGGTGGTCAGGCTCACTGACTTGGTTCAAACAGGTCATTGTATCCCAATTGCGTAGATATATGCTCATGCTGTTGATCACTGGATTGTCTGGTCCAGAATCAATTATTTACAGACCACCGCCATATAGCGGGAATATTGCTGAGTGTGGCATTAAACAACAAACACACAAAATTATCCCAATTTGAAAGACACCCCAGATAGCATTCAGACGTTGGCCCAACGAATGCTATTGGGGACACTGCTAACACAAAGCCGTTCAATCATCCTACTCAGAGGGAGAAGTTAAGGATGGAGGTGGTGATGTCACTCTTTAATCTGTGGTAGTGAATAGGTCCAGGGTAGATATGTTAACAGCTTTGTGATAATATACCCTGTATACTCGAAGATGAGTACAGTGTGTCTGTGTGTCATTCTCTCTAACCACCTGACGAGAGAACAGTGGAGAGAAATAAGATAATGTACAGAATATATTTTGGATAACTAATATCTTGTTCTTTCTTGTATTTAATGCCAAACTGCTTCTGTGGCCTAGTGGGTAGAGTGTCTGCCCAGAAAGCAGGTCAGTGGTTCGATCCTCTGGCCATGTCAGACCAGATGTTGAAAGGTGATGCTTGTTGTTGCCCTGCCTGGTGCCTGCATTAATGGTGAGGGGTGAGGTGAAATTGGGTTCAGCGTCGTACTTGAGAATATTTCGCTCATATGACGACGTGCATGCGTGTGTATGTGTATGTGCAGCTTCTTGTACTAGCCCAGACTTAAGCTGGTTTTATAGTGCTAGCTCACTGAGATACCATGCCGCAGTGAAGCATTAATGCCCCACTCAGACACATTATACTGACTCCGTGCCGACCAGTCCTTGTTGTACCCATTAATGCCGAGCGCCAGGCAGGGACCAACAAGTACCATATTTTAACGTCTTTTGGTATGACGCGGCCGGGGATCGAATCCGTGACCTTCCGCTCTCCGGGCGGACGCTCTAACCACTACACCACGGAGGCGGTCGAAAAACAGCTGAAGTCAGCGCTGATACAAATAGCAACACATGCTCAAAAGGAAGCAAGTCTCGATTTCCCACAGGTTCTAAATCTCCCATCTCACTGGAACTCAGAACCCAGCTGGACTCCCTAATTAACACAAAACTCAAACAAGTGTTTTAAAACTACATTTATTATCTATTCAATCATAAACAATATGAGGACAACTTAAACCTATGTATAGTCTTCATACAAAATGATAAGTATGACTGAAAAGCAACAGTAAGCTTCTATGCTGATTACCGGTATATTGATTGTACAAAACAACAAAACTTTTGACACAACCACTTCTATAAACATCCAGACTTCAACTTAATTCCTGAGAACATAAATCAAAATTTGTTCCCAGAGGAATGATATATTAAAAGATGATCACAGACACCTGGATTTCCATTCATTAAGCAAGGACATATACAACCCTATGACAAGATGAAAACACAACCACATCAATATGTAATTAATATATGATCTGTAAAGAGTTAACAATCAAGAATGATTGGCAAATAACAAAAGGTATAAATGACTTTGGCCTGTATAGAAAAGCTTTAAAGCTACGTTGGGACTACACCACTCTAACAAGCAAGTAACCATTTAAACAGAATTTTTTCTAACTAGTGTTGTGCAAATAATTGATGGTGACATATTGAAATAAGTATCCAATATGATGAACACTTAAATTGACCGAGATCAACTCTGTGTACTGTTCACTATAGTTGCTGTAGGTAGACGGTCGTGATAATGGATCTTAAGAAACAAACCTGTGATATGAAGGAGCTTTACTCAATCAAAAACACAACACAACCTAACCATGAACTGAACACTTTCAAACAACCATAATGACATCAACATCACTTGGCAGGGGTGGAAATAACTTTAAAATTGCAAGTGTACTCCGGTACAGTGGCACACGTAAAATCACTTGACCTGATTATTTTTCCACTATACCGGCCATTTTCTTGTTGATTGTTTAAATAAACCACATAATTAACTTTCGAAATCAACTGGACACCGGTACAGTGTGATATACAAATTTGCTTGCCCGACAGAAAAAAACACTGGACTCAGACGTCGGGCAATGGGTTATTTCCACCCCTGCTTGGTAGAGAATATAGCTTGCTGACCGGTCAGTTGTCATATTGAATACGCAAATAAATAAAATAGTCTGCTGGCCTGCAGGCATGGAAAGCACAACACCACAAGGTCTTACATGACTTCACATCTTTTCTCAACATTGTTCATACTGGAATTCCCATACTGTGAGTCTGAAGGCCGTCACAACATGGATGATATTGTAAAGCACATATTTCTCTGAACCAAAGTCCTCTTTCCAGTAGTTGGAGGCAAGGGACAAGTTCATCCAGCTCATACAATCACATTTACTCATATCAACAGAAACCATATTTTGGAAGACAATAAGCCGTCCTTCAAGTTGACAGTTAGTCTCAGGACTACAAGACTAGAGAACCTATCAGACCTACGGCCCCCACAAAATGTGAAACAGCTGTATCATGGCCTAACATGAATATACCGATACCGTTGTGAATCATCACAGCCCCAACCATTCTCATTGTATGGCACTTATGTAATACTAACTATGATACACACCGGTTAATACAAAGCTGCTTCATGAACACAGTCAAAACAGAAATGAGTAATACAGGATAAATACAATGCCTTTTCTATTCTTACTGACGCCACACAGTGCTTTATCTTCCCCACCTTAACCAGACAGACAGTACTGGAACAGATACAAACGAAGCAGGCTTGTCAGTGCCTCAACACCCCAGAGTTATCTACCTTGGTCCGTTCTCCTGTCTTTTGCTGTAGGCAGCTGATGTAGCATGGACAGTGGTGCCAGAACAGTAAGGCATGGAGGCAGACGAGGTAAGGGTAGTCCTTTAAGGTGTAGAATCAGGTAACTATAGAAACACTGCATTCATTTCCACATGTTCTTCCCCAGTAGTGCCAGAAATGGATAATGTACTATCATAAGTGCCAGAGATGCTGAGGAAGCATTGCATAAGCATCAGGCAAGAATCCCTCCAGCCCCAAAAAGAACTGGGGGATATGGTGCTGGTCAAGCACTCTCAGATCAAAGCAGTGGTCTGAATATTAAGAAAACTTGGCAGGGCCATCATGCATGAGAATGCTCACATCTGGTGTGGCTTGTGGGACTCTGGAGGCAACAGGACAGCACACCAATAACCTTGAAGAATATCCGAGTGGAGCCAAAGTGATGTTAAGTGTCACTTCAGCGGTGACACCGTCAGAGACCAGAATGAACGGACACTGATGGTGTTGTGTGGACACTTGAGATATTGGTGCAGTCCTCGTGATAGGGCACAGAGCTTGTTCCTGGTCACACATGTCACATAAAACCGCATTTAGGTCTCAAGCTGGGGGGCCAAACTTTTGGTTTGCCCAGAAATGGCGAAAAGGTCTGGTGCTAAGGCCAAACAGTACCTTGAGCAACCTGGAAAAACAGTAATGAGAGCAGGGAGGTAAATCAAAGGTGTTCGGTTAAGGTGGGGAAGCTAAAGCACTGTGTAAGGGTGAGGTAAGTTTAACATAATGAACTGGGTGCCGTTGTACAAAACAACCTTAGCGCTAAGGCTACCTTAAGTCTATGTTAAAGTATGGGAGTTACGGTCAACCCTGGTCTTTCAAAAAGTACATCTACTGATTTAGATTTCTTCATCAAACATGTATATCTGTATAAGGAATATATATTCTGCATGGTAGTGAATACTGGGGCAATGGCCCTTCCCAGTCATGGGCTACCAGCAACACAGGATCTGATTCCTGGAGATCTGAAGCAGGTGGAGTGCAATATGGCCTCATACATATCGTATAATACAATACAAAACAAGAGTATAAAAATACAACTGTGCATCTGAATATCTATACCTGCAGATATTATCATTGTATATCAATAATATGTCACACATTTTCTACCATGTACCTCAGCATCACATCTTTACTTCAGAAAATCTTTCATGTGTTTATTAACTTCTTCTGGAGTGTCCATCATGACCCAGTGGCTAGCCTCCTCTATGTATTTAACGGAGTGATTCTCTACGATGGAATTAGCAGCAGCAGCAAGGCCAGTCTCCAAGGCCACGTCCTTGCAGCCCCAGATGGTCAGCACCGGGCAGGAGATCCTCGGCAGCTTTTTGGCACCGAACCGAGTTGTAGCTCGATAGTAATTAATGGCACATGTTGCAGCACCTGGAAATACGGGGCATGTGTTGATATAGGGTATACAGTGTTAAACGAATATATGGAAACTGCACAAGTTAATAATAATGGTAACCAAAGTTATCCACTGTCTAACAAACTCACTAACATTCTATTGGACCTGGATGCCATTGTACAAAACAACCTTAGCGCTAAGACAGTCGTAAGTCTATGTTAAAGTATGGGACTTATGATCACCTAAGTGCTAAGGTTGTTTTGTACAATGGCACCCAGGGATACAGCCATTTCTATGGCCTTGGAACGAACTCCTCTTCTTACTGTCAAAACACAATTCCAACAGGTGTCCTTCTAATACAATTGTATTATGGAGTATACAACCCTACACAGTAATTACCTGGTCTAGAGAAAGCATATTTGTAGGCTTCTACATCGTCAGGGCTACAGTTCCCAGTGGTGACACCACCCTGACGCCCCCGTGAAGATTCTTTCCAGGGATTTCATGTCATTTACTTTCAGCATCAACTCAGGGAGAAATGGAACTTGGAAGAAGAACATGTACCTGAAACACAACATGAAGATAAATGATCATAAGACCACATACTTCAGCTAAAGTAATTAGTAAATGTAAAATATATTGTACTAAATATCAAAAACTAGAATATATTTTCACTCACAACAAGATATGTTCCCCCTCCCTTCCCCTCCTCCTTTGGTTGACAAATAAATTCGAGTTGTTTCAGCAAATGACTTTGCAAATCTCACAAACACTTATAACAAAAACATACATGTTCAGATTTTGAATCTATGGCATGCTGTCTGGCTGAAATAGGAAGGTAATGACATTTGAAATCACAAAATCTGTTAATATGTTTCACTCATGCTTTATTTATTTATTAGTTCAAGTTGTTACTATAAATGATTTTGCTCCAACACTAGCTACCACCTCATAATACATCGTGGAATTTTATGTCTTCTTTCTGAATGTAATCAGGTCATATATTTGACAAAGTTCGAAAATAGGGTTACTTGCGTTAATTTCATGATGCATTTTAGGCAAGGCTTTATGCATTCGCATTAATTTGGTGATGTGATACAGTAATTTGAGGAATTTCTGAATTTCTGAACACAAACAGCAAAGAGGTTTCAAAGGAGTTGTTAAAATTATGCCTAGTTTCACCTTATTTCATGGTATATATATCTAAAATATATTCCTAAACTCATCCAAATGTTCCCAATTCAACCAGTATCTTCCTATGGTCGTGAAGTTGGAAGTCTAATCATGCTTATGGGAGAACCCTCTGTGGTCACACCTGTCTACAGTTACCATGGTTACCATTGGCAGATAAAAGATACTTATTTGTGTATCATGTCCCGAGAGTATGATGAGCTGATTCTCAGGGTACAGATGTTATAGAAGAAACTAAAGATATTTTTGGTACCAAGATTTCCTGAACTGCGTCCAACTCTTATGCATGAAGCTTCGGAAGATGCCTGGATGGGGGCAGTTCATCACGATCAGCTTGTCGACCAGTTCTGGGTGGAAGGCAGTGAATGACCAGGCAATGGCGCCGCCCCAGTCATGAGAAACCAGCACACAGGACCTGTAGCCTGAGGAAACAGAAGCAGCTGGAGTGTCCTGGAGAATCATGTTTAGACTCCATAAAACACACAAGAAGCATAAAACTACTTCTATGTAAATATTTACCTTTTGATCACGCTTATTCATATTTCATTGACACAGTATACCAAGAGAGTGTATTTTCTCTGTGTAAACTGATAGTTGACTTATCAGGGAAATAGAGACCCTCCATTTGTGTAAAAAGTTGGAAAAACTCATGATGGATGTTCACTAACTTCTCATAAACATCATTCCAACTAGAGCCCGATTTCTGACATCAAATTGTTTGTTTGCTTGTTGTGTAACGATGGAACTCAGAAATATGACAGTGGTTTGCAAATAACTGATTTTGGACCAGACAATCCAGTGAGTGACTTCATGTGCAATGATCTACAAAAATATGATGACATGCATCAACTATACCGAGCCTGACCACCCAGTCCCGTCAGTCACCACTTAGGACTATCACTTCCAAATTTTGATGTTACCTAGAGCTGGGATGAGTTGTTTCAGATCGCCCACCATCTTGGACATCTGGTAATTGTCAACACCGGACGGCTTGTCAGAGTCACCATAGCCTCTCAGATCAATGGCCACAACCCTGGGTTAAAACAACACAGGTATTAAAATTAATCAAAATAGAGGAAAAACAAAGGTCATAGGTATTGTATCAGAACGTGATTTATTCATGATTGCAAAATCAGAACTTTGACATAATGTGTATATCTTTCTGGTAAGACAAGCGATACCGTTTGTTTGTTACTCTCTGATGGATGGAGATTGGCAAGTGAGTGAGTTTAGTTTTACGCCACACTCAGCAATATTCCAGCTATATGGCAGCAGTCTGTAAATAATCAAGTCTGGACCAGACAATCCAGTGGTCAACATCATGACCATCGTTCTTTGAAACTGGGATTCGATGACCTGTGTCAACCAAGTCAGCGAGCCTGACCACCCAATCCCAAGGATACGACAAGCTTTCGTTACTGAAGACCAATTCTAACCTGGATCTTCACGGGCCCTGGAGATTGGTGACTTCATGAAAGCTGGTTGCATTCGGACTGTTGGTGACTTTCTGATCATCTGAGTGACTTTCTGATGTGGTGGGTAACTTTATGATGGGGTTGGGGTGGGCGACTTTCAGATGGGGTGGGTAACTTTATGATCAGGTGAGTGATGTTTAGATGGGGTGAGTAACTTTCTTATGGGTTGGATGACTTTCTGAAATGTACTTTCCTGTTGGTAGCCAGGTGTATCTGATTGGATGGGTAATTTATTTCCTGGGCAGGTAATCTTTTGACTGATTACTGCAAGGTTGAAGCAGGTAACATTCTGATACATATTGAAACTGGTCTTTGAACTTAATGCGTGAGGACCTACCGGTACCTGGCAAACACAGTAACAGAATGAGAGCAAGCCTGGGATTTGGACACCCAATCATATATTTATGGCAAAGCCAAAGAAATACAACTCCGGTCACCTGTAATCCTTCTTGAACTCACGCAGCTGGTATCGCCATGAGTACCAGAACTCTGGAAACCCATGCACAAACAGCATCAACGGTTTGGTCTCGTCTCCCTGGGCAACATAGTGGATCCTAACATCCTGAAATAAGAAAAAAGAATAGTTTAACAGTGGAACAGGGACACCTGACTGAGACTTGCATCAGTTGATGAACATCAGATGAACATAGATTTTTTATATGATTGGCCAAACAGTCCATCATGTCACTGACCATGAAAAGTCAAACTCATTAATATTGCATGAATCTGCCAATATGCTCAAGGCAAACCTGGATTTGACAGGGCATACTCCCAATCAAATATCCAGTGTCTGCTTGTTTCATTCTTCCTGCAGAACAATGCCAAGTTCTTGAGAGCAGTCGGCGGTTGTTGGTGACGAATGTTCCGTGCAAGGATATCCCAGACATGCTCACTGGATAACAAGTCTGGACTGACTACCTAGGACTGCAACAATATTTGAATTTATTCCAGTTGCTGATTCTGAAGTAAACGTTCAAAAAAATCAGAATCTGACACCATAGTAACATGTGATCATGATTTCTGTGAGCTAACCATTATCACTAATTTGAGAGATGTACTTTGATTCAATATTTGAATTGTCACACTTGATATTTCATAAACGCTTTTGTCTATCGACAGTGATTTTAATTACTGACTGTGAAACATTAACAGCTCATGCCACAGTACTCTGTGTTCTTTCAGCTTCCAACATGCCAACTGCATGTAGCCATTCCTGGTGTGACACATGCCACAATTGGCATGTTTGCACTAAATTAAAGGATGGAATAATTATTTTCGAAATCCAAATACAATCACATATCTTGGTTCCCAAATAATATCATCCAAACCCGGAATATCCCCTACATTTTTAGTAGTACAAGTAGGGCTGTGTATTGCCCCAAATTTCATATTGCGATATATTGCAAAACACTCTTCTGTATTGTGATACGTACTGCAATATACAGTCAAATCCCGATGATTACGGAAATCACTGTCTGTGCTAATCAGACTGGAACTGATAAGGTGCCCTAATACCGGTGACATGGAAATCATTACGATAAACAAATGCTTGTCCCAATGAGATGAGGAATTAGGACTGGATCATCTTTTTTTCTACCCTCATAGACATACCTATGTCTGAATACATCGATAAAGTGATTTCGAATTTATTACTTTGTCCCCAGCGGACATGGAAATCATTAGATAAACATGCTTAGGGCGGAGGGAATTGACTGTATCTTGAAAGAACACCTATGTTATTGAGATCTGTCCACTTTGTCTTGAAAGAACAGTATCTCCACTTTTACCTTCCTTCAATTGAATCACAGTATATGCGAATAACCATTGTGCATTGTATAGCTTCTTTCAAAGCAAGAAAAAGGAAAAACCAGGACATTCTTCTGTGTATATTTTAATTTTAAAACAGCAGGGATTGACACTCACTAAATATTTTAACTAGTCCTCCGGGCTAGTGGATTTTGTATGTCACTAGTCCTATCCAAATATAACAAGCCCTACACTTTACTATAAAAAACTTTCAACAAGTCTTTCTTTTAATGGTAACTGCTCTCCAAAGGAAAGTTAACACAGATAAGTGTATGATTTCTCATTTAATATATATGACAAATTCAACTGAAACTAGCTTACATCATGTCCTACATCAACCCACCCATACTAAACTAACGGACAAAAGAAACGATACTATTTCAAAATCACTGATATTACAAAACGACAAACCACCATTGTGTAAAGGGAAGAGAATTTTGATAGCAGGTGTACTCCCGCTATTTTAATCCATTTGAAAGATGTCATAATATCCTCTTACCTGTTTCTTTCACATTTTCATTTTTATGTAATCCGAATATTATTATCTAAAGATTAATTAAATAATATGTGTGATCGCCTATTTCCCGATAACCGTGGCTTTTCGCCCGGTAACATGACACAACATTGGGAAATGCCTCCGTTTTCAAAGTTCCGTATGAAAGACACTCGAAAAGATTAATTTGATGGCGGGTATCGTTCCAATGCTCTTATCATCAATAATATCACAATAACCTTACCAGGAGTATTTTCGTAGTTGTAAGAAGCTATTTTATTGGATAAAGATTGGTTCCTAATGACATCGATTCTTTGCTCCTTGACAATTTTTAAGTGGATCCGTTGCCAATCATTTGGAAAGACTTCCGCCCAATCCCCACCACCCATATTACCTGAATATACATGTATACATATCTTTTTCCTCACTATTATACAGAGGGTATACGGGCGGAAGTCTTTCCTGCTGTGCTGAATGGATTAAAATTGAACAAACAATTCTTTGTCTGTATACCGGTACATCATAAACGTATCGCGATACGTAATTGTAACAATGTCGTATTGCAGTTTACACGTATACCGGTAATACCGTGCAGCCCTAAGTATAAGCATCATTAGGAAACAGAACTAACTTTGAAACTGTGCCGGACGAGCCTACAATGATTGGGTTTTTTTCATGCTTAGGTAAGGGACCGTTCATAATTAATGGCATGGGGATGAGACACCACCCGCCTGATGATGTTTACCACATGACCGCCTGCATGCATATCATGTACAAAATCAATTACCCCCCTCGACCTTCCCATAATTTTAAGCATTATTTTTAATATTTTATGTACAAAATTGCTGACACCCCACCACCACCATCAGTACATGTGTACATAATTGCTGACCAGCCAACCCCCCTATTTCCCCAGAACAAAATAGGTGACCCCCCAGAAATTATGAACGGTCCCTAACACATCTGTAGATCTTCAGGTAACACTCCTTATATATCTCTCCATTGAAAATACAGAACTTTGAATGTCTATTTCCATTCTACAACAAATTTCCACTAACTCTTTGGTGTCAGAAAGGCAATGAGTTAAAATACACTGCCTGAGAGTGAAAAAACAACTTTTCCAGAAATTATTCATGCCTCACTGTGTGTTCATGTAACCTGGTAACTATGGTAACGTAACTTGGTCATCTTGGCAGAATAGTTTAATATGGAAATGCTAGTGGAAATTTGTGTTGCTTATCTGTTTTGGTTGGGTTTTTTTCGCTTATGTATGCTAGCTGTTAATGATTATTGTCATAATAGTAGGTTAGATTGTAGAAAAGATTTCCAAATGACTCAGCAAAAGTGACTGCAACTCTGTCCTAGCTTTTAGTCCAAAGTCAAAAATATAGGACGACCTGTCAAAAGTCTCAGCAAAAGTGACTGCGACTCTGTCTTAGCTTTCTTCAGTCCAAAGTCCAAAATATAGGACGACCTGTCTCACCTGTCGCGACAGCACAAGGTGTCAAGAATAATTTGTACGATTGTGACCACTTACCCCACTTTGTGCAACTTACTGTCATACTATCTAACCTGACCGTAAATGTGTAAAATAAATCTGAAACCTCTGCATCATTCAGCACAAATAATTAATCAAAAGTCCCGCGTTGACATACGGTTTGTTCACTCACCTCCAAGTGCACGTAGCCATGTGTTCCCAAGTCCGGGTCGTTTAGAACTGATGGCATCACATCTCGTTTCTTGCGGGAGAAAAATGCGATAGGGTGTTTCACAAAACCCAGAGTTAAAGTGAACAAAACGAATGTCGAATAGAAACAACCGAGACCGAAAGAGATCCACCTGACGAGAATACCTTCGATCGCCATACTTCCTGGTTGGGAGAGTCAAAAGTGTGACGGGAATGAATAGAAACGAAATTCAGCACGACTTTTGTTCAGTACTGCGCGGACTTTGACCCACGTGGTCAAAGTATGAGATTCTAACGATTTGATTGGATAACCGATGACCTCTCAGTTAGGTCACGTTACTACTTGTTCATTCATAACAAACACGTGAATTCATTCATTCTACAACTTAGATGCATTGTGGGAATGTAAACATTGCGAACGTTATCGTGTCGCTGTTTAATTGTGAGTCGGACTGAGACATTATATCAGTGGCAAAACATAAACGCAATGTTTCCACCAGTTATATTAGCCGAGTGAAGCAGTTGCAAACCAAGAAACGGTGTTCTACGGAGTAGTTTACTGTAGGAGGCTGTATGAGAGGCGATGACAACTGACATGCATCGTGACGTCGGTTACCAGGGAACAGACGAGAATGGCGTAGTGACGTCATTACAGTGTGACGTCATGCAAAAGTGTTCTACAGAACAAAATTCTTCCGCAACCTCTTTATGAAACCGGTTGCGGTTTGAAACCATAACAATAACAAAAATACGCTATTTTGTCAATTCAATGCATGTAAGACGTGGGTAATAATCTCTATGTATGTCATTGATAACGTTGTACATAGTATATTGATGTGGTGATTTCATAGATAGATAGCTATACTGTAAAGCGAACAATGTCTCTTTGAAACAACGCAAAGATAAGGTGGCTGTTAATATGTTTTGGTGCAATACATTTCAGTTGTTTCTAGTGCTAACTCATGCCATGAACGGCACATATATGCCACTCAAAAGAGCCAGTCCACTGACACTCATCGCAGTGTTATTGTTTATATTCCCCTTCAGAAACAGCTGTTTTGCGGCGATATTGTCCTTTATCTGATAGAACCTGGGGTTTTATAGACCTAGAGTTACACAGGCTCTTCCCAAAGTATAGAACTCGATTCTAATCTTATTATTGTGCTTATTAATTGTGGATGTGTTTAACAACTTCATTATTAATTATCATATGCATCTTAATATATACATAGAATATATTCTGTTTTCATCAGATCTGTGACAAGCTACTGCATTCCCTTTAAAGTAAATGAAGCAACGATACAACTGGACCATTAATTTTACTGATGATTGCAATTGGGTTGCTGATTCACATATACATTCTAGTTTATATATGTTTTCATTCGAAACGCGTAACGGCGGAAACTCGGATTATGGATTCACCCAAAGAGTTGAGCTTGATAAGATTAATGTCAAAACGGATAAGCCACTGTCATATAAATGACTCATATTTATAGTCAGACCTATAAGATTATATTTATTTATTTCTGTTATCAAGATGACTGACAGTGTACTCAATAATATTGCTATAGACCCACAGCACACGCAATGTTTGGTGGCATGAATTATCCATGTAATTGGAGAAACAGTTTAATTTTCTTTGCTGTTAGTCTTTGCTTAAATATAAAGTAATGTTATATACATCATCAAAGTTTTCAAATGTAACAATTTCGATCAAAGATGTCACAGTTTGAGACTTGGTGACCTGTCTAAGATACACGTTTATTTGAGCTGAGTAACGCTCACATACAAGCAATACATGGAATTCAACTTCATAACAGACCCACTGAACTCACACTCATCTCTCAGAGACGTTCAGAGCATGGGAGCATCAACTGCAAGTTTAAATCTACTACATCTTAAACGAGTCATACCTAATCTCCGCTCCACTGGGGTATTGGGTTCAAGATATCTCAAGCTCTCTGCGTTGAATAGGGTTTTAAGGTGCTTATAGTGGAATGAATCAGATATACAGTTGATAAAACTAGACAGTGGTTGGTGAAGGTTATCAAATAATCTTTGTTTAAAAAGGTGAATTAATATAATAATACTGCCAATATATATCCAGATCCTCGTTTTCAGTAAATGTATTTGATTTGAATAGCCCATGTGGTACGACCAGAGCCATTAAGTGATTTGAGCCTTAAATCCCATTGGCGAGTCAGTCTGTGATCATCCAAATGCAACAGCCTGCACAAATACCTGACATATAGCCCTTGTGGTATACACGAGATGGTCTCTACCACATATTCCCCAAACCGTAGCATTGTATGTTGTTTGACCCATTCTGGGAAACCATTTGGACATTTTTGCTCTACATCTTCTGAGAAGCAGTACTTTACAATATGTAGTGTCTCATACCTCTGCACCATAGCAAACCATAGGGCAAAATGGTGACATCAAATATATTGAATAAATCTTGACAGGGCCATTTCAAACTTTCTTTTGATAGCTGTACAATGTCATGATAAGTTTGTTACTCTGCACAGCAATAGTTAGCGCCCAAGTCCAAACAAGTTGATAGCTATAAAACGACACAGTTTCAATATATACACCATCGATCATATTTCGATTTTCACAATGTTCGAGAGGCCTGCCACATCCGAATATCAGCCCCAGTTTTCTTAAAATTTACCTTCATGTCTGTGACTTGCAAAAATGCTCTCTCTCTCTCTCTCTCTCTCTCTCTCTCTCTCTCTCTCTCTCTCTCTCTCTCTCTCTCTCTCTCTCTCTCTCTCTCTACATCTCTCTCTCTCTCTCTCTCTCTCTCTCTCTCTCTCTCTCTCTCTCTCTCTCTCTCTCTCTTTCCGCAGGACATGAAGTCGCCTCGGACATGGAAAGACATCCGTTGAACGCGCTGATGCAACCGACTCAGTTATCTGCCATTATTGACACAGAAAAACGTTTGTGGCCTTATTCCATTTCGGGATGTCGAAAAATAGACGTTAACATGGTTTGGATAGCCAACTGGTGCGACGGAATCACTTCCGGATTATTTATATAAGAAATCACAACAGAAATTACAAAGAAACGGAAAATCCCCTTAACATTTCACATTGTTTTATCTTCAGGTTGGTTGGTTGTATATCGGACTGGGCTGAGGGGTTGGAATAACTTTTCGTAATGTCGTTCTCTAAGCCAGTGATTAACAGTTTCGTGCATTAGCCATAACTGAGAGAAATACGTATGGTGTAGAGGCCTACATTAGCGATAGTAGAAATAGTATTTGCAGATTATAAGAATTAAATGCAACAAACATGGTCCGGTTCATCCTGGATCAGACAGGCTGATTAGGTCCAAAGCCCGTAATTGCCTCCTGTTACACGCAGCCATGTAAGGACGAAGGGGCCGTTTCCCAGGAAGGGCTGCCTTGTTGAATCTACCAATAACATTTTGGCCAGAGTGACAAAATGGTTTGTACCTGGCAGCAAACCCGGATACTCTCCCAAAGTCGGTCAACTGATTGGGAGGTGCAAACCTAAGGCACTCTTTGTAGAGTCGGCCCGTTGAACAAAGAGATCGTACTACGTAGCGCTGACCTTAAGTCTCTTTTTAGAGCGGGCCTTGGTACGCTACGGTCTCTTTGTAGAGCGGGACCTTGGAACTTGGGTCTCATTTTTGCCATCTTTCTCCTGACTCTGGACGACCATAGTGAGAAATGTCGAAAGTTTGGAGTCATAAAGAAAATGCAGTGATTAAAATGATTTCATTGGGTTTATAACACACGACAACGTCAGGTTATTGGCCAGCATGCGTATGAGGCTGCATACGGACCAGTACCAGAGAATTATCATTTTCCATGTCGCCCTCTACATATTCTGGGTCGTACCATATGGATCTGTGAGACAAAACTACAAGTATGGGGAAATAATCAGAGAATGGAACCAAACCATCATGTCACCTAAGGTGCTGTGTTTGTGCCACCTTTAGACATCTACTGACAAGGTGTTGGTCATTTTCACGAAATACATTGCACGAACTACAGTACATGTTTTACATTTTGAAACAAAACCACACACATAGGGTTTCTTGTGAGATGTGACTGGTCCTGGGCAGCACAGAGAGAGGCTTCTGATACACTTCATCCAAGCATACTGCACATTAACTCCAGTCTTTTGTCAGTTTCCTTTAAAAATCTTAGCCTAAGTAGTAGTAGTAGTAGTAGTAGTAGTAGTAGTAGTAGTAGTAGTAGTAGTAGTAGTAGTAGTAGTAGTAGTAGTAGTAGTAGTAGTAGTGGTAGTGGTAGCAGTAGTAGTAGTAGTAGTAGTAGTAGTAGTAGTAGTAGTACAAGTAGTAGTAGAAGTAGTAGTAGAAGAAGTAATAGTAGTAGTAGTAGAAGAAGTAGTAGTAGTAGTAGTAGAAGTAGTAGTAGTAGTAGTAGTAGTATTTGGCAGCAAAACGTATTAGATTGAGTGGGCAACATAAAATTAAAGCAAATATGAAATCGCCCCTCTCACTAACTGACAAAAACACAAACATGAAGGTCAAATACTGTATTTATCTTTTCAAAATGTTGTTGTATACATATTCTTCACACAAAATAACAGCAGGAAGCACATTTGTCTATAAAGAACTTGTGTGCATTAACCATCTTCATACAATGATCAAGATACAAATCTATACACACAGTAACATCATTACATAGTATGACCAAATATCTTTCAACCTCGTTTTCACAACATGAAATGAATGAGGGCACACGATTGTTATTCATTTTGGTTTGAAGGCTCAAATCAGAACGATAATGATGTATATATGGGTTTATTAGCCACGCTTCTAAGATGCCTAGCGGTTAGAACAATCGAAAAAAAAATTACATTATCAGACAATAAAGGTATAGCTTTTTGATGACGTAACAATTGAATGACGTTATCCTGTCACTGCGCCATTCTAGTGTGCCTCCTCGTAATCGAACCATTTTACATTAGGTCACAATGTAAGCGACGTCACGATGCATGTCAGTTGTCGCCTCGTACGGCCTCCTACAGTAAACTACTGCGTTGCATCCCGTTTCTTGGTTTGCAGTTGCTTCACTCACCTAACATCACTGGTGGAAACATTACGTTTATGTTTTCTGACGTAAAATGTCTCAATTCGACTCACAAGTTTTCAGCGACACGGTAACGTTCGCAATGTTTACATTCCCACAATGCAATCGTGGAATGTCGCTTGACTACTCAGCTTCGTCTGGATGTACTGATCTAAACATACGTTGGTAGTAGAAATGCGACGTTCACATGGTTTACGTTAATCACAGATGTAATTAAAATAATTTAGAGAAGATATTTAATCCGAACGTAAACCGTCATCAAACTGTTTATCATTTGTTTTTCTGGTAACGTTCGTCTTAACGTTGGGGGGCAGACACATCAATAGAACAGCGCGCCATTTAGCCCTGTGCGAGGATTCTTAATTTAGGTCACCGACACCGTCGTTTGTTTTCTGCCTTAAATTAATCGTAATTATCCTTAGAAAGTATTAAATTTGGCATCTTAGAAAAGAAATACAGTTCGCTCTACCACCATGTATAGTGTAATAAAACACACTTTCGCCCTGAACTATTATGACGTTAAAGCACTCGGTTAAATAAAAGGATAAAATAGAAAAAAGTTGGCTGGTCTATATAGTAACCAAAGTTAAGAATTAAAGATAGTTAGCAAGTACATTAGTCAAATATGCAAGTTATCATATCTGCCTCAAGCGGAATTTCTGACAATCTCAGTGTGTGTGCGTGCGTGCGTCAAATGACTGGTGTCTGCATAATCACCCAATGTCGGCATAATTGAAGACATTGGGTGAGATATCTCGTTTACATAAGTTTGAAAAATGGCCAAAGTGTCGGGGTGGCCTTGAAGATAAGGTCAAGGTCACCCAAATCGACTGCTATCTGCGTAATCCCCCAATGTAGGCTGTCACCAAATTTGAAGACACTGGGTACAACAGTTCATGAGATATCGCGACGCGTTAACAAGAATCAGGACGGACGGACGCTGCTGAATATGGCGGGGGACAATAAGGTAATCAATTTAAAATGTCTGTCGACAAAGGACAGTAAACCAACCAGACCATCACAGATATGTATCTAAAACTGGTAATTAAATCTAAAATGTAGAGAACGATACAATATAAAAACAGGCTATAGATCGCCAACAACTGAAGGTAGATCACCATACTAGGGACCATGGTACCTTTGTTACCTGCATTGACCCTTGTTGGATTTACACCACCCCTTCAGCCGCTGGCGATTGTAGGATATATTTAGCCAAACTTTAAAAGGACAAAAATACTACGTTTTAAAAATCTGGTCAGTTTAAGTTCAGTTTTGAAAGTTTGCGGACTTACGTATTCTCTGAGGAGGACAATAATTTTACGATACTTTAACCCCCTCCGAGGATCTAAAATCCTCAACCACTAACAATCGCTGTTGCTAATTTATACTACCATGTTTAAAATACCAGTTATCTTTTTACAAAACATATTATCCAAAATTTATCAAGTTATTTCCTTTAAAAATTCAGTTATTAAATGATAATTAATGTTATAAAAAAGATCCTTAACTGTTTTGACATCGAAATATTTATCCCTTTTGATGGAAAAATTAATATGATAATATGATGCATGTTTCGTTGGCATAATAGATTGCAAGCAAAGCACCGATGCCGTTTTGAGCAATCACCAGAATGAATTAATCATTTCTTCTCAAAACAATTGTTATCATTTAACGGCAAAATAAAGATTTACTTTAGAAAATCTCTCATATGTTTGTTAACTATGTCCGGAGTGTCCATCATGACCCAGTGACCTGCCTCCTCTATGTATTTGACTGTTTGGTTGTCTACAACAGCAGCAGCAGCAGCGGACATGTCTCTGTCCAGGATCATGTCCTTGCAGCCCCAAATAACCAGCAGCGGACAGGAGATCTTCGAGATCTTTCTTGGAGGGAACCGGATAAAAGCTCGATAATAATCGATAACAGCGGTTGCAGCACCTGGAAATAACCAGTAAATGTATTATAATACAATGTTAGTTACATATATGAAATCACTATGCCAGAAGCTTAGACTCCATCGGTGTCCTTGTGCCTGAAGACTGATCTCAAACATCTAATCCCTGTTCTCGGCAAAATTAAAATCTGAAATGCCTTTGGGGATTTATGGTAAATGTGCTTGCTGCACGTCACAAAGGAATGCGCCCGGTGGTCATGTTCGATGATTTGGTCAGTTGCTTGTCACCATGACTCGGTGTGAGATAAGGCTCATTATATCAATCGCAGCTTGGCTGGTCCCGACGTGATAACGTACAAGCCGCCAATATATCAGACTTAATATTTTGGCATTCACAAACCTAAGAGTTACATGAGGCACCGTCCCTATACTATTTTTCAGGGGCGGTGTAGTAGCCTAGTCTTTAATGCGTTGGCTCGTCACGCCTAAGACCCAAGTTCGATTCCCCACATTGGTACAATGTGTGAAGCCCTTTTCTGGTGTCCCCCGTCGTGATATTGCTGGAATATTGCTACAAGCGGCGTTAAACCATAAATGCGTCTCTATCCCTTTTACACAATGAAGAGATCCAAGGGTCTCAGGACAACCCAGAACCATATCTAACAATATACCTACTGATCCATTGCACCAAGAACATCTCCACATTTACAGACTAATGTAACACATTGATAACTAGAGTGACATCGCTCTCTAAGAAGCTCCCTAGCAACCTACTAAACCTGGTCATAGCCACATGTATGGCCTGAACATCATTTAAAATAATATAATGAAACCTACAGCATGAGGTTGGGGCCCCTGTTCTGCCTCAACTCTCCCAAATGATTTAATTGATACTCCTTTAGATATTATGGCAGTGGGTAGCCTAGTGGCTAAAGCGTTCGCTCGTCACGCCGAAGTCCCGGGTTCGATTCCTCACATGGGTACAATGTGTGACCCTATTTCTGGTGTCCCCCGCCGTGATATTACAGGAATGTTGCTAAACTATAACTCACTCACTCACTTTAGATATTACAGTAATTAACTGCTACAATGTAATTACCTGGTCTAGATAAAGCGTATTTGTAGGCCTCCATGTCCTCAGTGCTAAGTGTTCCTACCGTGAGATTACCATTAGGCCCCGCCATGGTTGTTTCCATAAGTTTCATGTCATTCACTAGCAGCATCAACTCAGGAAGAAACGGGACTTGGAAGAATAAAATGTACCTAAAACAGACAATGATAGGTACATATTAACAAAATCTAACTCGTCAGAAAAAGTAAACATTTATTGTTATTCATTAACGGATTAGCAAATGTCATAAGTTCAGAAGGATATATAATAAACGCATAAGCCGAAATGACATATTCAATATGGCTGCCACGATGGCCATATTGAAACCGGACAAGACTTCAGGAATGAAACGTCACAGAGAGTAAATTCTTAACTTAATGCTTCTTCCTTGCTCGCATTGATATAGTGAAGTATTCTTATCTGGAGATATTGGTGTAGACTGCATATTGTGTTAAGGATGTTTAGTTTCTTAAAATATATTTTGATCACGTATATAGTCAGATGGCATCATTTCACTTGGTAATCTTGCCTAATGTTCTTGATTACAAGCAACACCCTGCCGGCCAACACATCCTCGATAATCTCCAGGGTATACGTTACGATCACTCTCCACTATAGTGGAGATTATCGACGATGCCGGTCAACACTGTTCATGAAGGGATCATACCGCCCCAACATTTGACTTTTCTCAACAAGCTCCAGACAGCCTAAATGTACTTGTTACACGGTTACCACTAACAGATAAACAATGTATATTCGTGGTACATGTACCATTGTCATGATTAGCCAATGCAGACTATATACTGTTATTACCATACTTTCTTCAACTCGAACATATGCGTCTCCAGATAGTTGTGAATAATGTCTGGACGGGGACAGTTCATTGTAATGAGTTTGTCGACCATGTGTGGGTGTTTAGAGGCGAATATTCTGGCAATTACTGCTCCCCAGTCCAGACCTACTAGCACACAGGATCTGTAGCCTGAAAATAGAAGCAGGAGTTACTGTGTTCTCCGACTCCACACAACACACGACAGGTATAACATTACACCTGTATATCAAACCACTATCATGTTCACGCATGTTTATATTTCATATTGTATTTTTTCTTATTGTCTAGGGGCGGTGGGGTAGCCTAGTGGTTAAAGCGTTCGCTCGTCACGCCGAAGACCCGGGTTCGATTCCTCACATGGGTACAATGTGTGACCCCATTTCTGGTGTCCCCCGCCGTGATATTACAGGAATATTGCTAAAAGCGGCGTAAAACCCAACTCACTCACTCACTCACTCTTATTGTCTATGCAGATAGTTGATTCAGCAGGAAAACATATATGCTCAGTATGTTTAGATGTTTACTTTCGTTTCACGTACAATATTCCATACCTTATCCGAGACACTAGACTTGGTAATTCTATGATATAAGCAAACCACTTCACATTTCATTCTCCTCAAAGAACGAACGTTCACAACCAGGACATACAGTAATTCTAAATTAAAAAGCACAAGACAGCAATTAATTGCATTTCGGTTCAACGGTACACACATGAACCTCAAATCTAACTTCCTTTATTTCAGTTCGGTGCTACCACCCTGAAACAACTGGATTACGTTGAGTACAACTTCAAGAAAAAGGACATATTTAATTTGTTTTTCTGTATGTTTGTTGAAGGTGGCCTGTAAATAACTGAAACAGGACCAGATAATCCATGATGTTTACATACATCACTACCGAACGCAAGGGTGCGATAACACACCGACAACCAAGTCACAGTGAGTGAGTATGGTTTTACGCCGTTTTTAGCAATATTACAGCAATATCACGGCGTAGGACACCAAGTCACAGATCCTGATAATTGAATCCAATCAGGTGTCCCTGACAACCATCACAGATATCAAGTTTAACCCGGAATCTGCACGGGAGTAAATACAATCTTACCAAGAGCAGGGATGATCTGTTTAAGATCCGTCACCAACTTGGACATCTGGTAATTGGCAACACCGGAAGGCTTGTCAGAGTCACCATAACCCCTCATATCAATGGCCACAACCCTGGGGGAAAAATAACGCCGTTTTATAATTACAAAGTTAAAATGTGAGGAAAATGAAAAAGTGGTAAATTCGATCAGCAAGGTCACTGAGCTGACAGACAGAACATTCAGTTCGAATAGCATAAGAAGTAATAGACATCGTAGAAATTGGGAAGTCATAATATTAAAATCATATATGTTTGTAAATCTGGTTTCTCTGTGACCATGTACCGTTCAGGGTCCCGATCCACAATGCGTTCGTAACGTTACGACCTGTCGTAACTCCATAGTTTATAATTGACTTACGAATGTCGTAGCGCTGAAAACGTTTTGTGGATCGGGACCCTGATGTACACAGCTTACTGCCTGACAATGGTGTCAGTCCTGCATCACTTGTTACCTACCAAACCTAGACTTGTACAAATGGGAATAACAAATAATATTGATGGTTTGCATATGTTGTCTGATACATTTAGCAGGGTAACCACAATCGGACAGGATCAAGAGAACTAGACTTCACAGATAAAGATGTTATAATTCAACTTGCCAAACAAAGCTATTTGCTTGAATTCCCCAAACGAAAGGAAGACCCTTTAAAATAATTCCAACTTTCCACGTCCTACAGAGGGAATGATATCATTACCATTTCATTACAAAATGTGCATCAATATTGAGAAAAAGTTCAGAAATTCCCACAAATTCTGTTTTTCCTTTCATCTATTGCTTATTGAATCACCCTGTCCGTTTGATATTCACTTGTATTGTTGAAATGTGTAATAAATACAAAAGTGCACACAAGACCATGCAACAAATTATATATCATTTTTCAAAAACCCAATGACAACAGCTTACATAGAGGCTCAATTTGAGTTCGTCTGGGATTTGGACACACTTTCATAGATTTCTGGTAATGCCTAACCATTAGGGAAGAATATGTGACGAGGGGGGGTGATTTATTAAATAACCTATAAGGTGGTGGTGAAATCTGTCACGAGTGAAGTTATTGTTAATTAATGATTGACATACATTCTGTCTGGACACATTAATTTAAACTCGTAATGTATTTGTGTACGTGGTTTACTTGTCTACCGCCGACATCGAAACCTTACCTATTGTTGCACGACATCAAAGTGCACTCATTCAGTTTGTTTGGTTCAAATTGTCATTTTACCTGACCAATAAGCAGTTACCATTTCCATAATCTCACTGGTGCCATATTTAGTATTACTTTGATACAATGCTTATGGAACACTACAGAAGATATGTGTTGTTAAATATGTTGGGGATAGTCTTTCAAAGAAGTTTCAAAGAACAAGAAAATCCGAACCGTTTTGGAGACGTGAAAAGTTCTAGTAATTTAATTTCTCTATGTTTAGGGCAACCTAATAGGGAAGACGCAGCACGAACAGTAAACCAGTCTAATGGAATCTCTCTTGATCACCTGTAATCGTTCTTGAACTCACGCAACTGGAATCGCCATGAGTACCAAAACTCTGGGAACCCATGCACAAACAGCATCAACGGTTTGGTCTCGTCTCCCTGGGCAACATAGTGGATCTTTACATCCTGAAATGAGAAAATACCATTTATAAGATGGTCTTAGCAGCATAGACTGTTTGATTCCAAACAAAAATTGGTTTAAGTATATTGGTACTGCACGGAAATTGAGTAATATGTAACAAGTAAGGACAGATTAGGGGCAATCAAATCAGGTAACACGCCCGATTAAAAATACAGAACCTAGTAATTCCATTCTATTCATTATCTCCGTTCTGACAAGGAAATATTGAACGCAAACTGTTTTTTGTCAGTGTAGACAATGAAGTCTCATTGTCAGCATTTGCTCAAAGTTTTGCATTGGTTAGAATCCAGGAAACACTGAAAAATGTCGGAAACAAAGTACGTTCCTCTTTACGAATTGTTTCAAAATCCATATACTAGTACTTAACTCACATGCATGACGGGGTTTCCAGTGGATCAACACTGGCGATTTCTCTTCTCCTGCAAGGTAGCCAACCCATTCTCACACACACGTGTGATATGAAGTATTTCACATGGGTTTCTCATCCACACGTATGTTAGAAATACTTTGGCTAGGGACAGAACCATACCTCTAAATCCGCTAACAATTTCTGTTGATAAATATTAAATTATACGAATAATGACTTGACACGTTTGAGAAAAAATATTTACTCTTAAACATTATATTCTGTGGAATATCAGCGACTGACGAGTAATTATTGTAAATGTTAAACCTTTGATCGGCCAATCGAATGTTTTCCAAGCTTATTTGATTTTTTTTCTCTTTATAAGTAAGCATAATGACCTCTTTCAGCACCAAGATTTGGTTGTATTGTTTTCATATTCATGGTGGTATTACAGCAATGTACGTGAACACCTGCTTGGTGATGTTGTATTTTTTTTGTATTCATTTCAGTTGGATACAAGCATCAATTTGCCGAAACGCTCAAGTGGCGGACACCATACATGGAATGGAACACACACATATTCAGTCACATTATGTGAGGTGAGGTGAAATTGGGTTAAACGTCGTGCTTGAGAATATTTCGCTTATATGACGACGTGCATGCGTGTGTATGTGTATGTGCGGCTGCTTCTACTAGCCCAGACTTAAGCTGGTTTTACAGTGCTAGCCCACTGAGATACCATGCCGCTGTGAAGCATGAATACCCCACTCAGACACATTATACTGACTCCGAGCCGACCAGTCCTTGTTGTACCCTTCAATGCCGAGCGCCAGACAGGGACCAACAAGTACCATATTTTAACGTCTTTTGGTATGACGCAGTCGGGGATCGAACCCGCGACCTTCCGCTCTCTGGGCGGACGCTCTAACCACTACACCACGGAGGCGGTCAGTTACATTATGTGTTGGGAATAGTATACTAAGTGCAAGACCGTGGAATCACAATGGAAGTTCTACATCATCGTCAGATACAGTCATAACAGTCACAGCGCTGGTGATATTATATTCCATTTTCTATTAAATTCATCCGTATTGATATTTTTCGAACAAATATACCTTTCAATTTGAAATACTGCTTTATAGATACTAAAACAGGGTTTCAGACGCTTTATGTTCATTTCTGATATATGGCGTTTGGCCAATAAAATCAGGTGATAGAGTAGGTGGTTGCTATTGCAGCAAAATAATATATCTATAGTAGGAGGACACAAGTTCATGTATTATGTTCAATAGTCTATTAACGAGATTGATAGATTATTTCCAAAACAGTTTGATAGTTGGACATTCAATATATACCTGATAGATGTTACTGAACCACTTAATAAAATATCTATGGTAGGAAGTTCATCAATAGTCTGTTAACGAGATTGATAGATTCTTTCCAAAACAGTTTGATAGTTGGACATTCAATATATACCTTTAGATGTTACTGAACCACATAATGAAATTAAATCATTATAACCAGTTTCATTTTAAGCAACTCCCTTTTGTGTAAATGGCTTTAACAGGGTTTATATATATAGAACTTGTAGAAATATGGTCTGCTGCTGGTCATATCACATTATTTTCTTAATTTTGAAACTTTACATTTGTTCAAATCATTCCAAGGGGAATATTGTGAAAAAAACGATTTAGATCAAGTACCGTATCCCTAACATCAAATTTTGCTTTAAGTTCTGAAAATGTAAAGGAAATCATGGTCATTACAAATATCCTTAATGTGTACTATTCATTTTTGAAACCAGTTAATCAAATTAGTGTGGTTACACAGGTGATTTAGATAAATGGGTTGCATGTGAACGTCATTTATATCATTCATAGCCGACTAACGGGTGGTCAGGCTCGCTGACTTGGTTGACACATGTCATCGGTTCCCAATTGCGCAGATCGATGCTCGTGCTGTTGACCACTGGATTGCCTCGATTATTTACAGACCGCTGCCATATAGCTGGGATATTGCTCACTGCTGCGTAAAACTAAACTCACTCACTCACTCACCATTCATAGCCCTTAATATATTTATTCCATGCATCGAGTGCGTCTTTCCGAAACGGGTTTTCGAGTTTGTATTGTTTATTAACATTTGAGCCTAATAGAAGTATGCCTTTTAGAGGAAAACCAGCTAAACTATAAAATTTGAAACGTATCTCTTTAAACATGCAATTTTTAGTGAATCAGTAAAAGTTTTGATATTAACCATGCTCAGACCATCATCTTCATATGTTGATTTCTGTTGTTATTACCTACGAGGGCGAACATATCGGGTTCATATTTTTCATACGATGCCCTAGGGCAAAATATCACTTTGTCATGGTGACGTCACGATTCTTCTGTGACGTTGCGTTCTACATGCGGCGACGGCTGGTAGCCAGCCTATATTTGAAAGCAGATTTTGGTTTATTTTCCTCAATTTGACGACTTCGGTAATAAGCAGATATTATATTCGTGCCCATATCATACTATGTTAACGACACTCGTGCCTAAATATCGGTATATCCCTCGCTCTTGCTCGGGAAATACCAACATTTAGGCACTCGTGTCGTAAACATAGTATGACATGGGCACTCAAATAATATCCTCTATATAATGTTTCTTCCAAATATACATACACCAGGGAAGTTAATAATAAAGTGTTATGTGATAACAATTATGTTCATAACAATAACTTAGATTGACATTATACAACAACGAATGTATTTAACACGTATAACGTCGACAGCACATGTAGACCTGATTCCCGAATGACTCGGCACTTTTGTGTAAGCGACAGTAACTCCGCTAACCTTTAGTCTAAAGTCTAAAACTAATATCAGTAGCGACGATTAGCTGGCGAGACTCAGCTTGCTTGTACATTTAATGTCACTCATTCTAAACTGACGTTAAATCCGCGAAACAGTTCGTAAGGTCTGCGTGATTAGGAATATGAGCATGAATTATTCGCTAGGAAATTAATCAAAGGTCCGCTTTGACAAAAGCTATTTATTTTACTCACAGCCAAGTGAACATAGCCATGTGTTCCCAAGTCCGGGTCGTTTAGAACTGATGGCATCACATCTCGTTTCTTGCGGGAGAAAAATGCGATGGGATGTCTCACGAAATACACAAACAAACCAAGCAAAACGAATATTGAACAAAAACAGCCCAGTCCGAAGGAGATCAACCAGCGCAAGGTATCTCTGATCGCCATTCTTCCTAGTTGGGAACGTCAAAACTGTTGACGGGAATCAGTAGAAACGAAATACGTTTCACGCCTATGTATGTGGTAATACTTGCGTCATAGCCTGTATAAGCGAAGTACAATTTGTTTCAGGGTCACTTTCAAGATATTTGCTCATAGATAGCGACGTGCAGAAGCTAACAAGCACTGAGACTATTGTACGTAGGGGTAGATTGTATGTCGATGCGCTCTCACGGACATCAAGCTACTTTTTATTGACAAAAATGTTTTCTGTTTGATTTATTTTGTTTTGTTATGTCAACAATCTCGTTACTTTGACTAGAAACTGCATTCACAAAAGCCGCAATATATAGAACAACACGAATGTTGAACAGAAGGAAAATGCATTTGAGTTTCAGTTGCCATAGTTACTGGTAGTGAAAATCCAATGATAATGGGAATGAATAGAAACGAAATAAGTTTCACCCTATATGTGGTAATGCCCAAACTGTGATCCGTGTCTTTAACTGTGTAATATTCATAAGAGTTTCACCCTTTATGTGGTAATGCCCAAACTTTGATCCGTGTCTTTAACTGTGTAATATTCATAAGAACAATAATAATACAACATATCCATCCACTTGTCAGCTATAAGAGGTTACGGCCTATACTCCCTAATGTGCAGGTGGTTGGTAAATGCCTTGGATCAGTGTATGCATCAGATGCACATTTTGTATCTCATTAGGGGCCTTTGCATTAAAACCAACTAGTTAATATACTTAAAGCCATTAAAAATGCAATTTGACATTCATACTTTCTTTACTCACACAAATTTCAACATATATAAACCTAACTGGCAGATATGTTTTAAGTGAACATCTGTGAATAATTTCATCTGAAAATGTCCAGTCAACAACAACATCAGTGACGCAATAACGACATCAAACAAAGGAGGGGTCACTTGCAGTCAATATCGTGTGTGTCCACCGTGCGCTGCAAGACATGCTCGCAGTCTTTGGGGCATTGAAAGACACACATTTCTCAGGAACAGCTGTTGGATGGTCTGCAGCCTCTGATGGTCTGTGGTCTAATCATGACACCACCCCTTCCAAAACGATCATGTTCAAGGACACAGTTTGGCGCAGGTCTTTCTCCTTTACGTCGATAAATCTGTTGACGTCTATCTGCAAAGGATAAGTTAAACCTGGATTCATCTGAAAAAATGACATCTGGCCATGTCCTGTTGCCAAGATTGGCCCCATTTGCTGCCCATCGCTGTCTGGCAAGTCTGTGGCGATGCAATAACCACGGTACGGGTGACGACACCGGATGTTGAAGGCAGCAAGGCGTCCTTGCACCTTTTGGGCGCTGAAATGACGTTGACTTGTCCCAATTGTCCTCCTTGCCTAATCATCAGCTGTTTGGAACCGATTTCGCAAGTGTGAAACTCGGATATTGCGGTTTTGTCGAGCTGTTATCACAGGTGGTGCACCAGGTCGCGGACGATCAGCAACACTTCCGGTAGCCCGAAAACGTTGTCTGAGTCGACTTTCAGTGGATGGATGCACATTAAAGTGACTGGCAATCATCACATCTGAAGCACCTTGGCTGACCATACCGATAACCTAATTCCTTTCGTCTTGTGTCAAGTGTGGCATTTTCTCAAAGTGATTGAGTTCCACAATTCCTTGTGCTTTTACAGGGCCTGGGTGCAGGTAATGCATGTGCACAACGTGTTTCATGAATGTGGTTGTGTTTACGAGAAATGTCAAAGGTTCAGTTTTAAGTATCAAAGTTCATGTGAGAGGAATGCTCCGGGACTCGAACTCGAAATGGGCCAGAATAACAGCCTTTTATCCCTACATCCTCTGTATCGCAGGAAAAAATCTTCAATAGAACTTTTGTAAGTTTCAGGACAACAAATACCAACTGCGTTTTTAATGGCTTTCAGTATATATACTTGCTATATTCATAAGCACCAAGTGATACTGTAGCACATGCTGAAGAAAGATATTATGTAATAGACTTTGATGGATTGTTCATGCACATTTGGATTATAGTTCGTTCATTTCCAACGCATCATGGACAAAGCACGGATTTGTCATTCAACAGTGGATCTTCGATAACATGCCAGTCAGAAAGGTCCAGTCAAAACTTTATCACAATGACCCAGTCACTTCTAAACGCTCGTCTGGTCACAGCGACCCATGTTTGTGAAGTGTTTGTACTATTTAAGCGCATATCCATGCGTAAGCAGAGTCAATACGATGTTAAGAATAGCGTTTTGGTTACACTCCACTTGAACAATTATGTTGTCTGACATCACACAGGATGTCCGCAGAATCAAAACAATGCTATAATGTGTATGATATATATAAATCTTGAAAAGTCCTTCTCGGAAATCTTCTCGTGATCCATGTTTGGAAAGTGAAGCAGATCCAAATTTACCAACATTTATACTGGTCTGGTGCTAATTATGTTAATTTGCTTTCAATAATTAACTATAATTATGTCGTGACTGTATTGCATTTTGACCCTGTTGTATTGTATTCACAGACCGTTTTTTCAATAATTTAAAGTGTATTTCTTACAATAAATGCTTGAAACCCTTTATTGTTTGAATACTGTGAACACCATGCTTTTCGATAAATAAGTATAATTATGTTGTGACTGAACTACACTCAACCTTTGATCCTGCTGTATTTTATATACCACAAGAAGACATATCAATGAAAACCAGACTGACTTTAAGAGTTATATCAATATTTCAGCAATTCAAATGATTTTAGTAAATATGGATAATTTTGTTTCTTAAATTTCAGGAATTATGTATAATTACTGAAAATTTCAGTAAATATACATAATTCCTTACTGAATCAGACATTATACATAATTACTGATATTTTCAGTAATTATACATATTTACTGATTGTACATATTCCCAGTAACATACATACATACATACATACATACATACATACATACATACATACATTACATACATACATACATAATTACATACTTACATACTTACTTACTTACTTATTTATAACACATGTACTTAGTGTCGATGTGTACCGCACACCCAGAGATATGACTGTCAAGTTACGAAAGACTAATGGTGTTACTTTATGTGGCATATATTTTCCTTTAATCACACTTTCTCGTTACTTAAATTTTAGTTTCCTGTGTTTTACGTTACTTCAATTACATTTTCGGAATTTAGTTAATTTTGTCTCATTATTTCATGTCTGTTCCAAAAACTCTAATAACGAGTTTAACAAAAAAGTATTTGAAATAACGAGACATTCTTTTTTTAAATGATTTATCCTACAAAAGTGGCACCATTAGGTTTCATATAAATAACATGAAGAAGTATTAAACGTTGTGAGATAACATCAGGGCGGTCCTTCTTTTGGTCATGGGATGATCGTTCGAACTGAGGCATCGGCGGGACAACTGTATATAACATTAACTCTGCCCCAAGACGGACAAAGTAGACACTGATGCAAGTAGAAATGACATGCACACAACACAGACCTGGCAGCGTGGTGCATATCGCACTTGAATATGTCTCCAAGGTGCCCATCTAGGATCTACAGCAGGATTTGCGAAGAAATACATTATCGTACGTACTGGCGCATTTGTAGCGCAGTATTACAAGCAGTATGACGTCATAAAGGTTGACTGAATCACCAATAAACAAGAAACTTTGTCGGACAATCATTCATTGTCGAATCCCCTTACGAAATTGATCTTCATCCAACAAAATTAATGGCAGTAGCTCCTGTGGAAATTGGTTAGAAGCGACACCACTTACAGCCTGACTGGATTGTGCAGTGTGTTAAGAACTCCCTTAACACAACAGAAACGATAGCTGTTATTGTCCAAAACACATTTCTTGTTCCATTATTCAATGTCAGTAAGCTATCCAAAATAACGAAACATTGCCCGAAAATCGCTTAAAATAACCATTCATCTAGTTGCTCTAAAGGTATACTGTCAAACGTCTTTCGCGAATGACTACATTTGTGGGATCGGTTTGGTTCTATTGCTTCGATTTCTTCTCAAGATCCGCTGGGTGGATGAAGGTCCCTCAGCATGAGCCTGAATACTGTTAAACGGTTCAATCAGCAGTATTCTAGCTCGTCCACGATTCCCCAAGTAAATACTCGAACTCCAAAAGATTCTCAAAGTCCCTGGGTCAGAATATAGTGGAGAGGAACATAGGGTTCTAGTACCGTGTAGTAAGGGTGACTATTGAGGGGAAACAACTATTGCGATAGCGATAGTCTACTGCAACATACTCCTTAACTGATGATAGCGATAGTCTACTGCAACATACTACTGCGATAGCGATAGTCTACTGCGACCAACTATAGTCGGCCTTGAATTGTCTCATTTGAAGTCATTTCCTAAATGAATGTATAGTTTATACGAAATAGAAACATGTTGAAGTAGTTTCAGTCTCTTTGAATAACTAACAAGAAACTTGAAACCCAGACCAAGTAAACAATTAAAACTTAAACGTCTTGTTATTCACAATTTCAAACTCTGAGTCGCATGCCGTGTTTGCCGCCATGTTTGTTTAAGAGGCATCAGGGGTGGATAAGTCTAAATAAAGTGAACGAATCTGGTACTTCCTGTATTTTGCGCTGCGCATTTATCAACGGAAGTCAAGTACTAAACTACCGATAGTCGCACATACTATCGATGCATCGATAGTTTTTCGTTTCTGCCATCGATTAATTGATATCAGAGACTCAATAAATGCAATCCATCGATAGTTCGATGCATCGTTACAGCACTACCGTGTAGTATCTTCCGAAACTGTGTCTAAATATAGCACCTGTCTAAAAATAGCATACCTGCTAATCCAAAAGTTCCAGAGCGATGATTTGCTTCCGCCCAACCAGGCTATTGATCTAATGGACGCAGGGCAGGATTTTCCGCGGGTTCTAAATCTCTCATCTCAATCTAAAATTAACGCAATACAACGCAACAGATTGAGTCACTCTACTGAAAGCCATGGACTGACATTCCTCCATCAACTATCAACCACTGAACCCAGCTGAACTCACTAATTATTAATATAAAACTCAGACACAGACGTTAAAACTATATTTGTATCTATTCATTCATAATCAATAAATGAGGACAAAACATTGTTGACGAGTTTTAAAGCTTTAGTCACCATACAAAATAATTGGAAGCTTGTCTTAAAACATATAAGAACCTGATTATCCGGATTAATTTCTCTGTATAGTAATGCAAGTTCTAAAGCTATGCTGCAAGTGCACCACTCAAACTAATGCAATAAATCGGTCTAATACAAAATGCTTCCTACGACAGTTTTTTGCATATAGATAGATAGATAGATAGAGAGATGGTGAGATTTTGATAGGTATCCAGTTTGAAGATAAACACCGAGATTAACTGACTGAAATCACAGTGTCAAATGACTTGAGATAGGTAATAAAGTCCAAGTCCAACTTTTTACACAAGCCATTGATATCACTTAACAATATAGACAGTCTATTGTTACTGGTGTGTGATTTATTTCCGTCCAATGTAAAACAATCCTTGGTCCACATTGCTATTTCCTATTGCAACTGCCTACTGTCTACTACTCTTCGTTTGTCGTTCTCTCAGGTGCCCCTTTGTCACAGGGATGTCAATCACTACGTGGTTCAGTCAGCAGCTTACTATTCTTAAAGTAGCCGATCAGTCCCCTCTAATTCACGTCCTTACGTTGTTCATGTTGTCTGATGGTCAAATCACTGGACATACCACAGCCATTACGTTTGAGTGCTGCTTGTGACTTCAGAACGTTGATCCTGTCCTTACAAGGCACAGTTTACGATGAACGGACGCGGTTAAAAAGATTTTACTCTTTCTATATCATCGGTGGAATCATAGCTATTGATTATCAACAGAGACAATTTCTTCAGAGAATGTCAGCACACACGTGTTACAAGCAAGGGCAAGTAGCTAGAAACCAGCACACAGGCTCTGTAGCCTGGGGAGCAGAAACAGGTGGAAGGTGCGGTGTAGCCATGTCTGGACACCAAATAACACAAACGAGGCATACATACACACCGAGATATCTGAATATCTATACCTGTAGATATTTTATTGTAAATCACATTTTTATCTCTAATATGATTTCTACCTTATATGTGGACGTTGCATATTTACTCAAGGAAATCTTTCATGTGTTCGTTAACTTTGGCAGGTGTGTCCATCATGACCCAGTGACTAGCCTCCTCTATGTATTTAACTGTGTAATTGTCTACAACAGCATCACCGGTTGCAGCCAGGCCCTTATCCAGGGCCGCATCCTTGCAGCCCCAGATGGTCAGCACCGGGCAGGAGATCCTTGGCATCCTTTTTGTTGCAGGAAACCGAAACATGGCTCGGTAGTAATTGATGGTAGCTGTTGCAGCACCTGCAGGCAGGAAGCAAGGAGTAAATAAAGAATATTGTGTTAAATTCATATAATAAACAATCTGCAAGAGTATTAGCGCAACAAACAAGGTTCCCACATTCTGGCTGATCTGAAACAACACATCCATTCTGTAGACAATACTACAATCTTAATTCCCCTGCATGGTTTCACGGACAGAATAGAAGCTGTTGAACAGCAGAATATGAACTGATTGTACGAAATGTGAATTTTCCTTGACGTGATATGGGGGAACTGAAACATGACACCGGAAAGACTTTTATCTGAACAAACCAGCTCTATTATAGCTAGCTATGTAGTGTTCTATGTGAAGATATATGGAGTTTTGTTGTAGTATTTACATACGCTAGTATTTACATATCTCGCTATCAAATGAGCATTTTCTTTACGCCCAGTCAGACCTTAATTCAAGCGTTTCGAAACTGCATCGTTTGCATGTGCTCACGTAGCCTGTCCCTCCTGCTGACAATTTCACGCTGTCACGATGTTATGATTTCTTTGTTACAACGTTATTCTGTGGACTCGTCACAACGTTGTGGCCTGTAGTTGCAATACGTCATTTTTACGTCGCCCCAAGGTTAAAGTTATTTGATGCTACCGTATGTTACGTTGTCCTAAGGTTCTATTTAAAGTTAATAGTTGAATAATTTTCCCAGTAGTGAACAGTGCCTATGAAACAAAGCTGAAATTCACTTCAATGTTTATTCGTCAATTTGCATGTTGTTTTGGTCTTGTGGTGAAGAAGGAATCTCAAAGTGAAACGTTTCACAGAAAACGCTATCGGGACACCAAGTTATAAGAAAGGTTGTTATCACGTTGTCATATAACGTTATAAAATGACGTAATACTAACGTTGTGGCAACGTTGTGTCATGACGTTACCAATCTACAACCTACCCACACGCTGTGTCATGACGTTACCAATCTACAACCTACCCACACGCTGTGTCATGACTTTACCAATCTACAACCTACCCACACGCTGTGTCATGACTTGACCAATCTACAACCTCCCCACAACGTTGTGTCATGACTTTACCAATCTACAACCTACCCACACGCTGTGTCATGACGTTACCAATCTACAACCTACCCACACGCTGTGTCATGACGTTACCAATTTACAACCTACCCACACGCTGTGTCATGACTTTACCAATCTACAACCTACCGACAACGTTGTGTCATGACTTTACCAATCTACAACCTACCCACAACGTTGTGTCATGACGTTACCAATCTACAACCTACCCACACGCCGTGTCATGACTTTACCAATCTAGAACCTACCCACAACGTTGTGTCATGACGTTACCGATCTAGAACCTTCCCACAATGCTGTGTCATGACGTTACCAATCTACAACCTACCCACAACGTTGTGTCATGACGTTACCAATCTACAACCTTCCCACAACGTTGCGAAAACGTTGTGTGTTGGCTGGGCCACGCCATACCGCTGTGTACTCTGCAAAGCACGTCGCGTTCAGTCTGTCTATTGAACGTGGCAGTATGTACAACCTTCAAATCAAGTCCTCTTCTCAATGTAAAAACACAATTCCATTACTCGTCCACCAATAACTACAGTTTCAGAGAGTTCTTAAACTCTACACATTAATTACCTGGCATAGAGAAAGCATATTTGTAGGCCTCTACATCATCAGCACTTAATTTCCCTGAAGTGAGACCACACTGGCGTCCCGTGAAGAGTCTTTCCAGAGCTTCCATGTCCCTCACTTGCAGTGCCAACTCTGGGAGAAATGGAACTTGGAAGAAGAACATGTACCTGGAACAGATCATGAAGACAAATATTCACGAAATCACAAACTTGACGTTAAATAAACAGCCATAATTAGATATTTCGATATATGTTCTACCCATGTGAGAAAATATTAATTTGAAAAGGCAACAGTTCAGATGATGATAAATGACGATGGCAAGAAACAAATGCCACTAGTTACTTTCATTTAAAAGATATGGATCAGTTTAACAGTTATAGTTCTGGGCCTAGATTTTCGAGGATCTCTTGAAGCTTAGAAAGTCTCGTAAGTTCATGTTAATGTAAGGCACTTACGGCCATCTTAACATAAGGAGAGCTTCGAAAATCTAGGTCCTGAAACGAAACCAAAACATGCTAAAGTTATTTGGGCCAAAATATGTCCCAAGAAAACATGACAAGTTATATGGCAGCAAAATTGCAAAACTCCAAAAGGCAACAGTTAAGCTGATAAGCATTACATGAGCACAAATGTCCAAAATGTCGAAACTTATTGAAAGCCAGTTGCAAACCCTATCTTTGTTTGAGACTAATTCCAAATTGTTGTTGTTTTATGGAAACATAAAAATCAGATTTTATTAAAGTATCAAGGCTGAGGCGAGTAACCTGTTAAGCAATGCGGTTAAAGAATGGCATTCATGTTTTGGCTCGGAATAGGGTGGGTGGAAACGCATACGCCACTGCCAATGCAAACACTAAAATATGCCAAAAAGAAACTTGCGAAGAAAACAGTATTTCATGAAACTGCTACCACATCATAACACATCATGGATGTTTCAACAAACAGTATTATTGAATGTCAAATATATTTGAAGTTGAAAAAATGTTCATGATTCATGGTCGGCAACGTACTCACATTAATTTGTTGATGCATTAATGCCATGAAGTTCTGTACACATACGTTCAATAAAAACAACTCAAACGTTTCCAAAGAGTCGAAACTGATGTCAAACGTAACGTTATCCTCAAATACATTCCTTATCTCAGGGTAGAATCATTATCCAACATGGAAACCCTTCCTCCCTTTCTACTGCTCGTGGAAGCACAACAAAAGGTCTCAGGCATCAATAATTACCATGGTTACCATTCTACATAACTACTTGTTGATCATGTATCCTGAGCATTGTTATATTAATTTGTTAGTCATTGCATAATAGACTAAATATAATTTGATTACCAAGATTTCTTGAACTGCGACAGATGCGTCTCTAAGTAGCTGCGAAAGGCGTCAAGAGATGGACAGTTCATTATGATCAGCTTGTCGACCAGTTCTGGGTGGTAGGCAGTCAATGACCAAGCAACGGCGCCTCCCCAGTCATGAGCTACCAGCACGCAGGACTTGTAGCCTGGGGAAACAGAAGCAGGTGGAGTGTCCTGTAGAGTCACGTCTTTACTCCACACAGCACACGAAAAGCAAACACACATCTGTGTATCCGAATATTTATCAGGTTTCCCAGTTATTGTAATTCCGTTTGACATATTACATGATAAAGCGCATTTTTCTGTAAGCTGTTAGATTACTTAGCAGACAAACATAGATCCTCTATTTGTTAAAATGGTAGAAGGATGATGATCTGTAAATAACTGACTGACTGACTGAGTTTGGTTTTACGCCGCTTTTAGCAATATTCCAGCAACATCAGGGCGGGGGACACCAGAAATGGGCTTCACAAATAGTACCCATGTGGAGATTCGAACCCGGGTCTTCGGCGTGACGAGCCAACGCTTTAACCACTAGGCTACCCCACCGCCCCCTGTAAATAACTGAAGTTCTGTCAATAATCGATGCTGGACCTTATTATTAAGTGAGTCAAATCATATGCATTGATTTTCGAAATTGAGATACAGCGACATGCATCAACCTAGTCATCGAAACTGACCGCCTGATGATGTTAGTTGACTCTTACAACAAGCATCTGTTCTAAAATCTACCGACCGTGAAGATCCGGGTTAGAATTGATCTTCAGTATCCCATGATTGTCGTAAAAGGCGACTAACGGAATTGGGTGGTCAGGCTCGCTGACCTGGTTGACACATGTCCTCGTATCCTAATTGCGTAGATCGATGCTCATGCTGTTGATCACTAAATTGTCTGGTCCAGACTCGATTATTTACAGACTGCCGTCATTTAGCTGGAATATTGCTGAGTGCGGCGAAACACTAACTACACTCACTCACTCACTCACTCACTCACTGTTTTGTAGTGCATGTGTATCGTTTTTATTCCCAGCGAATGAATATCCTTCAGATCTTGGAATTCAGTAGAACCATATCTGGTGGTGGCACGTGGTCCTGTGCATAGCGCTCAGGTCACAAAGTTTCTAGGACTTCAGTCCTGCCCCACAACGAAGCACATGTGATACATGTGGTCTCACCTAAGGCAAGTGAGTTTGTTTCACAATTGTCTCTGTTCACCCAGTAGGAAATGGGTACCCGGTGAAATAAGTCGTTAGACTATTAACCTTCTAGAGCCTAACAGGCAGCTTGGGTTATCCGGGGTAATAATGATCAGGTTGTGCGCTTTGAGCAGGATATCTAGCCTTGAAAAGGCGCGTTATAAATATTCTCATTATTATTATTATTATCTGGGGGTTTTCCGCTATTATAGACGTAAGCGGCTGGCTGTCAACCGCTGGGTGCGGCGTAAAATTAAACTCACTCACTCATTCACTCACTCTAACATCTAACCAAGATCTTCTACCACTTAAAAACACTTGTAAAATATATCTTTCATTCTTCTACTTGATAGATTTGTTCACAACACTTCGAAATGTTCCTGTTACCTAGAGCTGGTATGACTTGTTTCAGATCGCCCACCATCTTGGACATCTGGTAATTGTCAACACCGGAAGGCTTGTCAGAGTCGCCATAGCCTCTCAGATCAATGGCCACAACCCTGGAGGGGAAAAGCGCAAGTCTCATAATTATTAAAACCCAGGAAAAACAAAGATCATAGGTACACCAACAGAAATGAGAACTTTGTTATAGTGCGAGTGTCTGGTAAGAGTGGTAAATATAACAAACCCGCTCTGTCTGATCATGTTGAGTAGATAACTTTGTGAAAGTTTTATGTTTGATCCATGTAGTTTGTTACTTTGTGATAGGTGTTGGTAAGTTTTAATGAGTGGATAACATTCCGCGATGGGTAGATTTCTAAAGGAGTGAGTGAGTGTAGTTTTACGCCGCACTCAGCAATATTCCAGCTATATGGCGGCGGTCTGTAAATAATCGAGTCTGGACCAGACAATCCAGTGATCAACAGGATGAGCATCGATCTGCGCAATTGGGAACCGATGACGTGTGTCAACCAAGTCAGCGAGCCTGACCACCGATCCCGTCAGTCGCCTCTTACGACAAGCATAGTCGCCTTTTGTGGCAAGCATGGGTTGATGAAGACCTATTCTACCCCGGATCCTCACGGGTCGCTTTCTAAAGGCCTGGGTAGTTACGTTTAGATAGTCCTTTACTATCTGATAATACAGGCAATCTTTCTTTAATAGTCTACTGTTGTAAAATCTGAGGATATCTGATTGGGTGGGCAATTTATATCTAGGGCATTTCGACTGTTTACCTTCAAGGTTGCAGCCAGTAATATTCTGATACGTATTGAAAATGGTCTTTGAACTTAATGTGGGGGGACCTACCAATGAGGTGAAATCCACGAGCAAGGGTACAGTGCCGGCAAATCTTAACATAATCAGAGTAGGCCAGGGATTTGAACACCCTATCATACATTAATGGCAAAGCCAAAGAAATACAACTCCGGTCACCTGTAATCCTTCTTGAACTCACGCAGCTGGTATCGCCATGAGTACCAGAACTCTGGAAATCCATGCACAAACAGCATCAACGGTTTGTTCTCGTCTCCCTGGGCAACATAGTGGATCCTGACATCCTGAAATAAGAAAAACGTGGTGCAGCTTTGATAGTAGCGGTGACGGAAGGTAGCCTTAGATAGCTAGCCCAGACCAGCTGTATCTCTTATTCAGGCGAGATTTTAATTTCCACCACGCATTTATATTTTATAAACAACGGGAGTAAAGACATCCATCAAAGATAATAAGTGTATTTATTACTATTTAAAGAATTGACTTGGTGACTGATGGTATAAACAGTGGTAGTATAGTTAACTCCTTCTTAATTCTTCATCATCACTGGTGTACATATTATTTATGTGCAGTACATTAGCAAACATTACAGGACAGAATTTGAACCTGCGCGGGGTGCGGATACAAATGCTGCTGTTACAGGTCATTGGCTCCCTCCCTCTGCAAGCCGTCTGCGTTCTGCTGTTTATTTTGTTGACAGTTACATAGACAGATTCTTTAATACAAATGCATAAAATCGGTGATTTACAATGTGATTAGGTTGTCTGACAAAACATCCACTTGCACAGTTTGAGATCGATTGGGTCATTGGATGAAGAGATATTTACAAAAAAACGGGTCCACATGCATTTCATGCTAAACTATACGGAGTATGCAGGATTTCAAATGATTCAGCAAAGTGAGTGTGTACAAAGTCCAACAAATACCGGTATCGCTTGGCGCGGCAGCTTCAGGTTTTCCATAATAGGTTGTGCGATTATGACCGGTGTTTCTCCAGCTCTATGCCATGGTCTCTAAACTGACCATAAAATACATATCTGAAATGTCTGCATCTTTAAGCATAAATAATTAGCAAAGAATTTATCAGCCCCGTTTATACAGTTTGTTCACTCACCTCCAAGTGCACGTAGCCATGTGTTCCCAAGTCCGGGTCGTTTAGAACCGATGGCATCACGTCTCGTTTCTTGCGGGAGAAAAATGCGATAGGGTGTTTCACAATCCACACAGTTAAAACGAACAAAACCCATGCTGAATACAAACAACCCAGTCCGAAGGAGATCCATCTGACTAGAATATCTTTCAACGCCATACTTCCTGCCTGGGAAAGACAGAAGTGTTACGTGACTGAATAGAAATGAAATGAGGTCGGCCCATGTCATACGCTGCATGTCATTGATAACA